AAATTATTAAACATTATTAATCAGATGTTGTGCTATCGGTTGGCTGAAATTTAAACGTTTTCTTCAGAGACAGGGTGGTAACGCCGAAAACACGAGCTAAACGCAGCAAACGAAAGGCTACCGGAAATTACTTAGCTGGCTGAACTTTTACCGGAACTACGTCACACCGCTCTGTGCATATAGCCTATTCTTTCCGCGCGAAAGGGAAACACACTGAACCGTCGAACCGTGCGACGCATGCATGCTCCGAACCGAGACAAGCGAACCGAACGGTTCGGTTTTTTTTCATGAACCGTGCCATCCCTAGTTGACACACCACGATACACAACGAAATGTGTCCTCTGCTTTTAAGCAGTGTGACCTAGCAATGGGCAGCTGCTACTTAGCGCCCGGGGAGCAGTGTGTGGGGGTGGTACCTTGCTCAGCGTACCTCACTGGTGCCTTGCTGGTCAGGGATTCGAACCAGCAACCTTCCAATCATACGTGTGCCCACAATTGGATCACCACTATTCTGTTGTGTTGAGGGTGTTGGGTGTTTGCAAGTGCTTTTTAAGTAAAGAGGTTGGGCCCCCTGGGCTGTGTTCATTTCGGTAAGACAGGAGAACAGGGCTCTAGGGCCACGCGGGCGGGGAATAGGAATGCTTAAGAGAAACTGTGGGAGAGGAGGCTCCTTCAGCAGACAGGAGGGCCACGGTGGTGATGTTCAGAGTGCGGGGGAAGTAGGGTGGGGGGGCTTAAGGAGCTGGAGAAGCACCAGGTTCAATCTGGTGAGTTCAACATGATTACAGGAGGATCTTGGGGGAGGCGACCAAAATGACAGGTTGTTAAAAAAAGACACATAAAACGTTACCGCCGCTTTATTGTGATGACTCTCCTGAGAAGTAGGGATTACGTGGAATGGAGAAGGAGCAGCGGTCGGAAGAGCAGGAGCTGCCGAATGGGCGTGGGAAGCAGCCAGGGGGGGCCGAGCAGGGACTCCCCTCTGAGAGTCGCTGCCATAACGGAGGCTTATTCCTCAGAGACTGATTGAGTTATGTGCAGGAAGGGCTGTTCTAAGTCCTGTACATCCTTTCTGCATCTCCTTAGCCCCCCCCCAACTGCAATTTGAGAAGGGAGGGAGAGTGACAGGCTAATATGAAACCATTCAGTCCCCCGAATAGACTTTCAGCTGTTCTGTTAGTTGCCGCGTAATTATATTCTAATATCTGCCACTTATTTTAATGGATTTCCTGCAGCAGGTGCAGCTGCAGCGAGGGATTTGCACGCGCGCTGAAACGTGAGGCGCGCCGGCAGGCAGCCCAGCCATCCAGCTCATTTGTCATCCCTCGGCTCGTCACGTGACCTTCCGTCATTAGCCCGATCACTTTGCGTCGTGCCGCGTTACAGTTGTATAGTGATTCGAATATCGTGAACTCTGCATCCGCTTATTAAATAATAAGCCAAGTGAAGTATGAACTGTGAGAATATAGTCAGTATGTACCAACGGGAAGTGTCTTGTACCAAGCGGGAGCGCTCGCTGGTGTAGTCGGAACCAGGTACCTGTGCTATGAGACCGTCTACCTGGCATTTCTATACCTGTCTGTGAGACTCCGTTCGCTCTGCGGCGTAAACATGCTCCCGCAAGCCGCACCTAGCTTTATCCAACTGAGTCTTAATCTGCTGCCAGGAGGAGCATAGTCATGGATAGCTTTGTGCTTGTTGTGACGGCTAGCGCTGTCACTACTAACATAATAATTTTAACTATGTGTCAGACATGCTGACAATTCAATGTTAGTGTTCCTTGTTAATACCAGTTGAATACTCTGTGACCGTGACACTGTACTCAAAATGCTGGTTGAAACAAAATTGTAGTCCAGATTTGTACTTTGTGGATCTGAGCTATCCACCTCTGCATTTATCCAAAGCATCTTATGGTACTAGGAAGGGTTACAGTCTACATATGCTTTTCTGGGATTAGAATCCACTACTTTTATACAGTTAGTGTGCACTGTACTTGTTGAGCTACAGAAGCTGCTCCAGTCTTGAAAAACAATGGATGTTTGCACTGGCTCTTGCTCCTGAGGCTGGACCCCCCATGCAATTTTTGTCATTTGAGAGAAGCATCTCCCCTAGTATGCAACAGAATCTTTAGCAAGCTAATCATAGAATGGGTTACACTTTTAAGCTGGCCACTTGTCTAGCTATGAATAAAATAGGTGATGTCAGGAGGAGTGATGTCAGATACGGTACACAGAAGCCCCGAAATGCAGCTTCCTTCTTGGGATTGGTTGACGGAGGGGAGCATGCCGGAGACCAGTATTAGGTGGAAAGCCCTAATCCCATAGAATTGGTTGAATGATAATCTTTTTTGCCTGAAAGAAAAAGTGGAATTGACACAAGAAAGAGGGCAGGAGAGCATTAAAACGAGCTGGAAACGTTTGGCCCTGCTTTCAAAAGCATAGGTGTCACTTTGAATTTGCTAGCGGTATATGTGTGTTTTTTTCACCACTCCACAGAGAAATCAGGTCAGAAATAAAGAAGTAGCAGATAAACATCTGTCTGTTCTTATAAGTCAGATACGGGCATCCGAGAGACACGGTTACGTGAATAGTCTGCGACTCCAGCGCAACACGCTTCATGTCAAGGGCGGGTGTAGGGAAGTCGCGAGTGGCTGCAAGTGGGTGGGGGGCAGATGTGATCACGCAGGATGTCACTGTAGCCGCTGCGTGTTCCGCGCTTGTATCTCAGCATACACTTTTAATGCGCTGTTGTTAATGCTCCCCCCCCCCAAATAATGATTGATAACAGTGATGCGCATCTCGTGGTATGTCCAGATCACACAGCCGCATTCTGTGACCACCCTGCCACACTTGCTGGAGTCTCCCAGTCCCTGATGAAACAGCAGGTATATGTCTCATATTTGGCCATGATAGTCGGCGCAGTTCTCGGTACATTAACTCCGGCTGCCCCTCCCCCCACCCTGACCCATTCTCCCATCCCAGGCTGACATCAAATCAAGTCGAGGAAATATCAGCTGTGGGGGGGGAAAAAAATATTGTCTATTGGGAATACTGCCATGAGTGTGTCTGTAATGCTGGATTGAGTCCGAAAGATGGGCAGCGAGAATCTGAATGCCCTTTCTCCGTCTGAATTACAGGGCGTTGGCATTGTTCAGAGGGCAGCCTGCCTGTAATGTGCAATAATCTGGAGACACTCACAGGAGTCATTTAATTACTGTGAGAATAATAGGGCAGTGTCATTGATTGAAACTCATGTGGTGGCCTGTGAAATTGTCTACAATGCTGCCTAAGTTGATATAGACCTATGTGTGTGGTCTGTGTGTGTGTGTCTGTGTCCGTCTTTTCTCAGGAATACCTTGATGTTCTGGGTCGTCCAATGGTGCTGGCAGGGAACCGGGCCAAGCAGGTGCAGTGGACCAACGTCTACCAGGATGCCTTGGTGAGACAGATTATCATCCACTTGTTATTTTCACTGAGAACTACAACCAGCACTGAGACTATAGACCTAGATCGTTAATACTGGAGGGACAGTAAAAGACAGCACTCATATCAGTACCCAGTGAAAATCCCCAGTGAGGTATGAGACAGTCAGTACACATTAGCAGGTGTGGAAAGGGCTCACTGTGCCGAGAAAAGGGGAGAAATGTAAATCACAGGTGGGACAAGAGCGGCAGCAATTTAACAAGGCCTGTAACAAGGCATAAAAGCCTCATTGTGAAGGCCCGTGATCTGCTGTCTGCTAGCGTGAGACGGGGCCCTCACTTCCCCTTCAAGAGACACGCAGCATTACAGGATTAGGGGGAGAGGGGAAACAGGATTACGCGTTGTGGTAGGGCACACGGAAAAGCGGAACGGTGGAGCGTGGAGTTCATGCCAGGCTAGATTAGAGGGCGGAGTCTGGGGCCTCTTAGACAGGAGCATCACATTCTGTCCCTTCCCGCTTACTCTGAGCTACGCGCCCCATTTGAAAAATAATCAGGACTTTTCTTTGGATTACATATACGGAGAATATTTCTTTTAAGACTGCTTTTTAGTTTCAGACTCCAGCTACCATGGTAAACTTGCATCTGATATGAAACAGTAATGCCTCACACCTGAATCTGTGTGACCCTTGCAGGGCCTTGGCTTGGTCATCACCGGTACTATGCCCGTCTTCAACCTCACGGCGGATGGAACGTCTCAGGTACAGCCAGGCATCATGAGTACTGAAAAAGACACTGGGCCTTATTTGCAGGGGCACCTTTCAGTCCCGAAGCTGTCGACACAGAGCTACCCAAACAAGCCGGCTTATTTCGGGTTCATCACTTGTGAGGCAAACCTGCCCCCTAGTGGTAGGTGATGCCATGAGAATAAGAGCTGGGATTTTTTTTTGTCTTTTCCCAGCATTCTGTGGGACTGATTTTAGCAGATAGTATACATAAATATACTTATATATTTGTAAATTGTGGCTTATGCATTGTTAATTTATTGTCAGAATTACATTTTTTACTAAGAGAAAAAAGACAAAACATAAGCAAAAGAAATATTTGACAAATAGCATTTACAAAAAAGCCTTAAATGCAGTGCTTTCTGTTATATATATAAATACACATATATATGCCAGCAAATTCATAATTGTAAAACATTGGGTGACATTTGTGTGGGACTGGTGCTTGGGGTGGCAATGACACCATACCCTGCATACACACACACACACACACCAGTGCCTGCCTCCCAGCTCCACGACACAACGCAAGGCAAGCGTGACGCCCAAGGTTGCGGCGTGCAGCCGCAGGAAATGTCACCGTGTCGGCTGGGCAGCAGCAGCCAGTCGCCTTTCCATGGGGCTGCATGGCTGCTCTGTCTTTAGGCTCCCGGTGTTTCACGGTAAAGGTCAAACTGCATGTAAATAGAAATAGACTTTAGATTGAGATCATTTACAGCCTGAAAGCAGGTCCCGGGGGTGAGCAGGGGGGGCAACTCTTTGTCAAATGTGTTGCTTTTAGATAAATGTCCTAGCCCTGTCTAATGCATGCACACATGCGCGGTCACATGCACACGCATGGTATTGTGCGCGAGGCAGCTTTCAGGCATCTCTGTCCTCCTCAGAACCAGCTTATCCTCGGCGTGATGGGAGTGGACATTGCGCTCAACGAGATCAAGAGCCTGACGCCAAGATACAAAGTAGGTACCGTCGATCTGCTGACACTGCCGTGCATAGGCGCAGGTGCTGCTGTTCTTAAACACCGTGTGAAAATGCTTTCGGCAGATATGTGTCTCATCGATATAAATTGCTTTCACGGTGCTAACTGTGTGCCGTCCACAGCTTTTTAGTTTTAATGCTGGCCACTTAGAGACCAAGGTAATGATAGCGTGAACGTGAATCTGCAATGTGTCGCGTTTTGGGGAGGGGGGAAATCTGGGTGACGGTGACATCACCAAGGCAACAGAAGCTGTCAGCAATGATGGCTGGGTGCATCATTTCTGAGCTCACTGTGCAGGGCGCGCCACCGTGCACGCCGGCAAAGGGTCTGTAAATCACTCTCGTGAACCAGGAAGGTAGCTGACAGGGAGGCAGAACGAGGCAGCCTTCTGCAAGCATCACAAGCGGAGGGAAAGGCAGCTTCATAGTTTGCCTGTTTTTCATATCTGTTCCATACAGAGTACATCAGTAACAGGTAGTTTATGTTGTGCTGTCATTGTATCTATATCTTACATTACCCAGTTCAGTCGTGGTGATTTCCTTATTTAAATTCCACAACTATTTTAACTTGGTTAAAGCTGACCTGAAACTGAGAGAAAGGTTTAAACTAGTGTTTCCCAACCCAGTCATCGGGGACCCCTGGACAGTCCACGTTTTTGCTCCCTCCCAGCTCTCAGCCAATAAGGAACACCGAATTCCTGGTACAGGTGTGCTGGGAGCTGAGAGGAAGCAAAAACGTCGACTGTCCGGAGTTCCCCGAAGACTGGGTTGGGAAATACTGGTTTAAATGGTGAGAATATAGTCAGCTCATCCAGCCTGAAGACATTTGGTTTGTTAATTGACATTTACTGGCTCCATTAGCTACGTAGCTAATTGGAAGCATATGTTCTCTTTTAAAACAAAAACCCTTGTCTGATTCCCCAACTGTGCCATGATTTATTAGTAGGCTGTCAAGTCAACGTCCACTTCTGTGATCATGTAGACGTCACTCCTCCAGAGTGTGCTGTAAGGCTCTCCAGGCATAACTATTCCCAAAAGTCCCTTTTGTATTTCACTATCATGCAATAGCCACTGGAAACCACTGTTTTGGACACAGGGAATCATTTCCCTCTTACATGCCAGCACAACTGCTCATAGGAGGTTTAGTCAGGTTTAGTCACCACACAGAACCAATCAGACTGTAGAGTGGGTAGGCCCAAGCAACTAGAGGAGGCAGGACCAAGACATCTGATTGGATGGTCCTGCCTCTTCTAGTTGCTCGGACGCACCTCCTCCACAATCTGATTGGTTATCTCTCTGAACCAATCATTTTGTTCTGCCCTCAGAACATTTTTGTGTAAGTAAAACTCCCATGAGCCTGTGAAAAGGGCCCAGCCACACACAGTGGGTGCTGATGTTCTGGGGCAGCCCGAACGGGTGGTTTTCTTGCTCATTGTCAGTCAGGTGATTTTTCACATGGCAGCTCAGTCAGGCAGACATTGGAAACACCTTCTGACAGCATTGCGGTGATGAGGACAGGCCCTTTGTGCACCTTTCCTGCACTTGCAGCAGTCGCATGTTTGGAGTATTTCCTGAGGGAAATATTGCATGGTACCGATTAAAGGGACAAGGACACCAGCGAATATGAATGATTGCCTAACTGTCACGCACAGTTGATTAGCATTTACATCACAGTCATGTGGTTTTTTTGTTGAAGAATGCAAACATAATTTTACCTTAATACTAATTTTATTTTTACTTTGACTGTACCTGGGACAGAGATGGCGGATATCCTGTTTGATATCTGCCACCGTTTGGCCTAATCTCTGTTTCTCTCCCAACAGCTGGGGGCTAATGGCTACACCTTTGCCATTGATCCGAATGGCTACGTGCTTCTGCATCCGAACTTGCAGCCCAAGGTGAGCATGTGTGGATGAGACAGAAGCTTTGTGACGCTCGCCGGTGATGATGCACGCTGCTGTGTGCCTGGACGTGCAAACTGCAGTGGTGTCTTGGTGTCAGGTGATCCCACCTGCAGCACTTACTAAATGCCCCTCTCACTGTAAAAGGCTTTTAGTAATTAAGCAATTAAGCAAAATGTAAATCATTAGTGATCTTTCTAGACTCATACCCCGAATGTCTTCTGCATGAAAGTAAAATCGCCTGATATGAATGTAATATGTGAATATATGGAAAAATAGGTGCATAGACTGCAGTGAATCAGTTTGGAGAAGAGAAGCTACACGTTCTTTTATGATGGAGACCCTTTGTGGTAAGAAACCTCTCTGCAGGTTTATCAGAGGTCTGTCATGGTAAATTGGGAAATGCCTTCAACTCACTGGCTGGGCAGTCAGAGCCAATTTGAACCATTCATCACAGCAGGAACATGAGGAAGTGTGTGTGTGTGGGGGGGGGGGTGTGGTCATATGGCTGGGGCTCACATACAATACAAATTTCCTAGGACAGTTTTGTTTGCTTGAAGTGTAATGGAAAAGTTACAAAACATGGTTAGGGAAATACAGTGCAATTACTAGGGGTCAAATCAGCTATACTCCTGGAACTGCTAGATGTTGATGGTGATGATGATTACCATAATAATAAAAATAATAATAATAATAATAATAATAATTCTTGTTGTGAAAGCAACCCCCCCCCCATCATCTTGCACAGATATGCCAGGTGATGCTGTTTCTACGGTGTTTCTAAGGTCTCGAGCATTTATGCCATACAGACTCTTTTTTTGAGTTTAATACTGACAATGTGTATGCACCCAGAACCATTCAATTAAACAAAAACATTGGTTCTTCTGCAAATTATACAGTTTACATAGTCTGTCACCAGTGCTTGCAGGTGCATCGCTACCTGCGGTAATTCTGTTAATAGAATTATTAAGATAAGTAAGTGTGGATAAATTACTGTTTTTGTTGATTCAGCTGGTGATTGTGACATAATGACAAATGGAACTTATATTTTGAAATTTTGCTATTCAGTAAAGGTAAAATTGTACAGCCACCAAGACCTGATTGTGGCTCGTGATGTACCAAATAAAGATTGCTTTCCTGTTGCATAAAATGTTAATTATACAAAACAATTATGTTCAGCCTTGACCATCAAGGTACTTTGGTACTTTGACATTTTTTCATGCATTTTTTTTAATCTCTTTATAGTTTGCCAGTTGGAGCGGGTTTCACTCGATTACCTGTTCTTTGTCAGTTTCACATTCACTCATCCTCCCTCTCTCCCCAGATCATTAATTTCAGAGAGCCCGTCACTCTGGACTTCCTGGATGCAGAACTGGAGGACAGCAATAAGGAAGAAGTGAGATTTTTACTAATATAAGTAACATGGCTTATAGGCCTTTTTTCCCAGCTGTAGTTTATTTTTCAAATAAATATCATTCCTGCATTTGTACAGATTAAACAATTAAAATGTTACGCAAGTTGTCCATCAGTTCAAAAAATTATCACAAACTGTCTCTAATGCAATAATCTATGTCAAAACTGCCCTTTTACATTGATAGTTTTCTCACCATTTTAGGGGCTTGGGGCAATTTGGCATATGAGGCACTCTCAGTGTGACATAATGCCTTTATATTTATAGTATATTATTGCAAACATTCCCAACCAATTGTGCTATAAATACTGGATGTGGAAACTGCACTGGTATCTGCGGAGCTCAGTTTCATCTCAAACAATAGCTTAGTTAGGTTAGTTCATTAGGAGCTCATTCCATTACAATGACCCAATGAGTCTGACTCCAGGAGTGCAGAAAGTTAAATTCATACTCAGTTTCCCCTTTTTATTGCATGATGTGTTATTTCAGACATGACAGAAAAAGGTGGTAATTATGGTCATCCAACAAATATAGAAATTAGCGTTCTAATATTTTTCTTCCCTGTGCTGTTTTCCACAGATCCGGCGGAAAATGATTGATGGCAAACCAGGACAGAAAAGAATCAAAACGCTCATTAAGTCGGTTGATGAGGCAAGTCGGCCCTAAACATGTAGTGCAGGCTTTCTGGCACCCCCTGCAGGGCTATGCTGCTCACTACAAGGCCTTCTCTTATCCCCCCCCCAGCCCATAATCAGGCTTCCAGCACAGCTCAGTTGGGTCTGAGCAGTTTTCCAGTCTGCTGAGCATCTTCGCTGCTTGCAAAGTTCCGTAGGGCAAGTGCCTTTAGTCTAGGTGCAACAGTGTCTTGGTCACCAGGGCAGAACTAAATAACAAATCATAAGTGTGGGGTTAAAACCAGATGAGAATATGATAAACTTCAAAATTGCTGTGAATGTGAGTCATGCACAGCAGTTACATGAATGCTTCACCTTGCTGTTTGTTCCGCATGCAATCCCCCTCGTTTGTATACCTCAGAGGTACCTTGATGAAGCAATGCGCTCATATACCTGGACTCCCGTCAACGGTACAGACTACAGGTAAGTAAGGCAGAGGCCACAACGGTGTTCTAGTGCCTTATATGCGTGCTGGTGCAGTGTTTAGCACTGTTTGCTCACACGTCTGGGACCAGGGTTCGAGCTTTCGCCATGGCTCCATGTGTGTGGAGTTTGCATGTTCTCCCCGTGTCATCACTGAGTATCTTCTGGGTACTCCGGTTTCCCCCCAGTCGAAAACGTTCCCAAATTGCCCGTAGGTGTGCATGTGTGAGTGACTGGTGTGTGAGTGACTGGTGTGTGAGTGACTGGTGTGTGAGTGTGCCCTGCGATGGGTTGGTACCCCATCTGATGTTGTTCCCTGCTTTGTGCCTGTACCTTTTGAGTCCCCTGTGACCCTGCACAGGACAAGCGGGTACAGAAGATGCATGATAAAGTAAATAACGCAGATGAATAGTGTGATTTCACTTCTGCTTATTGTGTGTTACACTATTGTATATCTCCCTTTTCCCTCATTGTTCACTATTAACAGTTTGTATACTGTGCTCATAACAGATATGCTGATTTCTAAAATGGCAAAAAAAATGGCTGCTGTGTAAAGACTTGTATTGTTTAGCTGATTTTTTTTTTTTTTCCTGGCTTTTCTAACTCTCTCCCCCTGCTCCGTGGTTCACCCCACCCCCCTGCAGTCTGGGTTTGGTACTGCCCATCTACAGTGAATACCACATACAAGCCAATCTGAGCGACCAGATACTTCAGGTTCAGTGTAAGTACCCACAGACCCTCACAGTTCCCTCCCTTTCTCCCCTTGACTTCCCTGGACCCTCTGATCCTGTCTTTCTCCTCTGCCACCCAGTTATTCGAGATCCCCCCCCCCCCCCAACAAGATACCACTAGGGTTCAAGCCCGTCAGCGAGGACGATGGGATGAATTCTTAGGTCATATCTTTCGGGAAAAAAATGCCACTATGTCGTAACGCCCACTCCCCCGTCTCCATGCTGTGCTATTCTGTGGCGACGTTTTTCTTCACATGGTTGAAGAAAAATCACTAGACAAATGAAAGGTGAAAGCTGGTGTAGACCATCGCGGAGTCGACCATCTTGTCAGAAAATAATGGTTACTGTGTGCTGTTATTTTTTTGTCAAATGCTCTCGCCTCTTTGCCACCATCCAATGATTCTGAAGCAGCCGTGTTGAAAGTTAGCGCCTAGCACTGTGAAAACTCGCATGCTTTTCACTTTTTTCCTGTGTTGTGGTTTCTCCTTTCTGTTATTTTGCCAGGTATTTAATTTTGTAAAGTTGTTTTATCCGTTTGAATTGCTTGACTTGCTTTGTTGTCCTCCGCTTTGGAATCATTCAGTGAAAAGGCCTCTCTCTCTCTTTCTCTCTTTCTACCTCTTTCTTTCTATCTCATCCACCCTCTATCTCCTTTGTAGCCCAGCTCTTGTTTTGCTTGGTAATTGAGTTATAAAAATGTATTTTGGGCCTGAAAAGGGGATGCCTTTTCTCTTTCTCTTTCTTAATCCTCTGGTCTTTTGACTCCCTTCGGCACATCTTTTTGCCTATTGCAACGACAGGTTTGCAACAGAAGCATCGCCACTTCATTCAGTCAGTTTTGCTTTACGGTGACTCCTCTACAGTGTTACTGTTGTTGTCCATTGATTATCGTTTCTTTCTCTTGATATTATTTTATCTGCCAATGTTTTTTTTTTTGTTTATTTGTTTAATGTTCTTCTTCTTTGCAAGAAGTTGTTAATCTTTTCTATTTGTGTTGTTTGCTTTCGGTTTCCTTATGACTGAATTGGTTTCTTTCTTTTAAGAAAACAATATTTTTATTCAAATAGTAATTGAATAAAATATTGTCTGTGACCCCCCCTTCCCACCCAATCCCCTGTTTCTTTTCTTGCTCACTTCTTCTCTGACGGATCCACACAGTGCAATACTACTATACCAAGGGCAAGTATATTCAACATTGGTCCACTTACCCTACACCTGCTCCCCACGCCTCCCACCTGCTCCCGTGTTCGACACCTCCTCAGTCAGCCTCCCACCCCTCTGCTCCCCTCCCTCCCTCCTTCCTTCTCTCCCTCACCGTTTCCAGCCTGCTTGCCTTCGTTCCTGCCCGTCTTGCCTAACCCCCCCACCCCTAACCCTCCACACCTCCCCGTCCTTGCTGACCCCCAGCCTCCTCTTCTGCACACTCCACCCACCCACCCACCTGCTCAAGGCCCCCTGTCCTGTTTCTCTCGCAGCACCTTTTCCCTCTCCCCCCTTCTCCAGCCCCGGCCACTGCACCGGCACTGAAATTTTCTCACACTGTCTCAGGAGGAAAGAAAAAATCGGATCTTCTTTTAAACTAGAAAAGCGTTGTCCGTTTCCCTCGGTATTACAGCTTGTCCTCTTTTGTTTTGTCCCTCTTCTGTCCCTCTGTTTCCCCCCTACCTCTCTTCCTCTGTTAACAGCTCTAATCTGGTAATGTCTTGCGTGTCACTCCTGTAACCTTTCACCCCGTGTCTATCTCTGTCTCTCTGCTTCCCTTTCTGATATGTAAACTCCTCATTCTCCACTCTTCCCAAACCTCTTGTTACAAAAAGAAAGAACTCTGTTACAGTAGCTTGCCTGCCCCACCGGTACTCAGGACAGTAGGAACCCTTACATTCTCTCTTAGCACAGTGAGGTCTCGCTGTTCCACTGGACCTGTTTCTGCCACGTTAGCCTCTCTCTGCCTTTTACATTTTTGACGTGCTACATTTATTCACTATATCGCTGTTGCATACTATGACCCCATGACCTTGTGGACTTAAGGATCAGTCTGTTCAGTGCAATGCCATTGAATATCTTCTCCGCATTCTTCACCTTTTCCCCTTGGGTGCCAATCAAACTCCTACAGAATAAGAGTCTAAGATATAGAGGTTGTATTCTTAAATGCCTTTGAAACTGAAATTATCCAATGTAAATCAGGGTTCCAAGAATATACACTACATTTACAAATATACAATATATGTAAATATAAATCTACAAATATATTTACAAATATTCATAATTTATATTATTGTAAAACAGTATTGTAAAATGCTAGCAAAACAGTCCAACACGCTTGAAATAAATCAGACTAAATGAAGATATAATAGAGCTGTGATAGAGGTAAGCACTACATTTTAATCAAAACAGACCAGGAGTCTGATTTTAATAACTAAAGTCTGTATGTCTCTCTGTCTTAATCTGCACTCATAAAAGTAACACCCTTGTTCCCCTTTTAATGGACAAACTCAATTGTCCCCTGTTTAAAATATTTAGATTAACACGTTAAATCTTAAAAAAAATGTATTTTATGTTCATGGGAAAAAAACATAAATTTTCAACAAGGACAACTGTTTGAAAAACAGACTGTAGACGAAAATTTCCGTACAGTTTATTTACAGTCAAGAGAGTAGCACAGATAGAGAGATTGCAAACAGAGTGGAAAGACTGCAGGCCAGTTCAGGGGAAATGGCTCCACATGCTTGTGCTGGATTCAGAGTTACTGCTGCCATTTTGTGAAGGGGCGTCTGGCGACGCGCGTATCCAATTGTATGCCTTCCTCCTGTAACCCCTGTCTCCATTGGCTTATCCCTAGCCCTATCCCAGTGCAGCTGTCACCCCTCAGACTGGCAGAATTTGCCCTCTCTCCTCCCATCCAAGATATAGAGGCATGCAGTGCATTGTGGGTGGAAAACTACCTGGGCACCATTTGAAAGTGTGGACTAAGATTAATTATAGATTTATATACATTTGTTTTCCATATTGCCATAAGGACATAGTCTTATCTTTCAAACATATTATTGGCTCTTCAGATCGAAGTTTTAGTTAATTGCCCTTTGGGAACATTGATTGTCACATCGGCTGTACTTTTTGATATATGAAGCTTTTGAGTTCAACACAATCCAGACATTCTCCATTACAAGCACTATAAAAAACAAATCCTGCATTGTTGCATCAAAACCAAAACATTTACTACTCATTTGTATGTGTATGGCAATGTATAGAAACAGTTGCCCCAAAACCAGCCCTTCACAATGCCTTGCATCGGCCTCTACTTTTGTAAATGAGCTTCTGGGCAAGTCTTTCAGCTGCAAGTCTGTGGGATGACCAACTTCATGAGGACCTTGCGCCACCCTCTTCCCTTGCACTAGTTGGCCATGTTGATGCCTGAAGAATAAATGCACACTTTTGAGAAATGTGTCGAAGAACTCACTTCCAGCCCTGTGATGCCGGAGAAGTCAGTTCTCCCTCACCTCAATGTGCAGCAGCTCGCAATTTTCAAAGCATCCATAATCGGTGGATTTTGCAAAAACGAAGGAGAACTTTTGAAATTATGATGCACATTCGTTAAAATTTGGAAATTTCATAGGCAACATATTGGCTAACAACAGTCTGCCCTCCATAAATCCTTAATGTTAATCTGGTAACCCTCACGTTTGCGTCGTCAGTCTTCTCCTGAAGAAACGCAGATATCACCCAGCCTGAGCTCCCTAATCTTCAGCCCGGCTTGCAGCGCTTCCCAGATAATGTTCCCTTTCTATTGCAGATTTTGAGTCTCTGCTGCCAAACAGTTTTGAGTCCGAGGGACATGTATTCATTGCTCCCAGGTAGCTGTGTGTGAATGCTTGCTTTCTTCCCATTTGTGCATCCTTCCCAGTTTGTTTTCATCACTGGTTTGGGTTTTGACGATCCACTGTCACAGCAGACCAGCCTGCATCCCCTGTTTTATTGCTTCTCTCTCACCCTGCCCCTCTTTTGCTCTGTGTCACTCGCGGTGTCTTCTTACCCCCCCCCCCCCCCCCCATACCACAAAGACCACCACCCCCTCCCCACCTGTTTATCAACCCATTTCGGCCTCGCTCATTTCATTCCAGGTTCGGCGAGTTCGTCTGTTTCTCATTTCTTGTTCTCCATTATTTCGCCGTTATCCATTGTGGTTGTTGCTGCGTTTGGTTTCCATTAAACGGTTTCTCTCGTTACGCTATGTCAGTGTACCCAGAGGAGTGTGACAGTACTTATGCCCATCATACATTTTGAAAAATGCCTAAATCTCCAATAACAACGTATTGGACAGTAATGAACATTTTGGATTATTTTCCACCCTTGCCCCTTTCCTTGTGTCCCTAAATTACACCACCCGACTTCTGCTCCCCACCCTTCCACTTGTCCCCCCACACCTTCGGCCTAAACTTTAGTGGTATTGCATGACCCTTAGCATGATGTGCTGAAAGGGCTCCCCTGGAGCACACGGCATGATGGTGACATGAGTTTCAGAGGGCGTGCACATGTATACATATTGCCCTGGCGTTGATTGGAGTGCAAGGGAGTTTGGTCAATGCATGCATGCCTCCAGAAACCACACTCCACTGCATCCACACAAATTCCAAGAATGTTCTCTGCTCCTTAGAAAAAACAATCAAGTGAGTATGTGTCGGCATTCATTCCAGTCATTTGGTCAGCACAAAGGCTCAGACCTATGTCCAACATCTCGCTTTGACGGTCTTGCTACTGCGAGCATGTACAATATTCCAATGCTCCTCTGACCTCCATGCATGTTCCTGGGAGACAGAGAGAAGCATGCTGTGAATATGTCTGAGAGGTAGCCTGTGGGTGTCTATGAGGGTGTGTGTGGAGGGGCATGTTCCTTCTGTTGTGGCATGATACCCTGCATAAGGGTAATATGATGCTCTCACAATGACATTGTGTGGAGCCAGTGAGGTGTGACGCAAACATGAGTTTTCTCTTTGTCTCTTTTCTTGGGGAAAAAAAATCTATGAAAACTCTTCCCAGGGAATATTGCAAGGATTTGAAGCTTTCTGGCAACAATACTGAGTTCCTGCTGAACTTCATTGCCCTCATGGAGAAAGTCACCCCTGACTCCAAGCAGTGTGAGTACCTCTCCGTATATCGTCTTTGACAACTTGGTGACCCACCGATTGACACTCTTTTTAGCATCACAAAAGCCCAAGTGAAACTGGGAGAAGCTCACAGCAGGCCTGTGCTGACACAGGGTTCACCCTTTCCCCAAACAGGTGATAAATTCCTCCTGCACAATCTCATCCTCGACACTGGCATAATCCGACAGCTGGTGGACAAGGTTTGGAAGACCAAGGATCTCAATACGTGAGTGTCAATGCAGGCGCATCTGCATTAAATTACGTTTCGTTACTTAAAAACCACAGATACACACAGGTTTGTAATGACTCTCCATTCATTTCTGTGGGGAAAATCCCAACATGACGACCTTAACCCCTACCCAGCCCTAACCTTAACCATAAGTAACCAAACAAAATACAAGACTTTTGGCATTTTTACTTTTTTGATTGCACTCATAGATGTGTTTTATAAAATTGAGATTATCCAAATGGGGACTGGAAAAATGTCCCCAAAAGTAAGGAAGTCTCAGGTTTTGCCACACTTTGGGGAGGTTTTGGTCCCCAAATATGATTTATGCAAACCTCTCCCCTCCCCCCGCACACACACACACACACACACACACACACACACACGTATTTGAACTGCTGATTTGCTCATCTCGTCTTATTGAGTGTTCCTGTGACACAGCTATGGCTTCCTGGCATTGTTTGCTGCCACAGACGGAGGGATCACAAGGGTCTTCCCCAACAAGTAAGTTGTGAGGGCGCCCCCTAGGTCTGCCTAGCAACCCCGCCACATACACTGCCACCCCAGATCTAACGGGTGTGTCATGCATTGTGTCTTCACAGCAGGATCCATTGTGCACTTAGCTGTAAACTTTTGTGTAACTTTTTATCAGGTGATCATGTTCTGGGTTTTGCAGTGTTGCTGGATTTATGTCGTACATGTCTGTGCATATTTGTGTTTGAATGTAACTGTTTCTCAGGGCCTCTGAAACGTGGGAAGAGGACCCAGAGCCCTTTAATGCTAGCTACTATCGCCGCAGCTTGGACAATCGGGGCTATATCTTCAGAGCTCCTTACAGGACCTGTAAGTATGGTTTCGTCATTCAGATACATTTTAATATCAAGGTCGTTGGGTAAATTCGTTGGGTAAATTTGACCATTGGGCGTTTGAACAAAGCCCTGAACCTGAAGGGCCTTCTGACCCTGCTCTGACCCTCAAAATGTACATTACTTTGGTTAAAAGTATCTACTAGAGGCGGAGCTATAGGCAGGGTGTGGGCGGGGCCAGTGCGCCTGGGCCCGGGCCCTCCCCAGGATCGTGGAGGGCCCTCCCCCCAGCCAAAAGAGGACCCTCCCATATACTAAATACACATAAAGTTACATTAATATCATTTCTTGAGAGCTCTTGACAGTTAGAACACAATACTTATATTTTAACTGTGACTTGCGATTTTTTATATCTGTCATTTTTTGTATACATTCTTATTATGGTGGGTGTATGGTGTAATTTTTAGAAAAAGAAATCTGTAAAATTCCTAAAACAAACTTGAAATATAATACATAGTAATGTTTTAAAGTCAAACTAAGCTGTTCCTTTTGTATTTAATGGTTTTCCGTTTGAGGAATTTTCAAAAAACTACAATGCATTATGGGTAGGATCTAAAGGCTGCCAAACTTCCTCGTCCATCTAGCCCGATTTTATGTAGTGGGCCTTTTAATTTGTTTGCTTGCAATTTCGCCAGGTAGGCTACCTTCCTTAAACTGGGTTTTGTTAGACTACATACTTCGGAATGTTTTATTGTAGTCTTTGTAAATATGTATATATTTAGCCTAACCAAGCCACTTAAGGGAGCAAGCCAGCTCAACTAGGTGCCGGTCCCAAGCCCAGATTAATGGGGAGGGTTGGCGTCAAGAAATAAAGAGACTGCATCACTGATGTCAAAATGTGGGAAATATGTGGTTGTATAAATAAATGTGTTAAAGTAGGCATGGACGCATTATGAGAATGAGAAAGATGGTGCATGCACACTAATTAACCTATACCCTATTCACTTAGACAATACACTGTAATTTTTGCAACAGAAATGCATGAGATGGGCAGGCAGCTGGAGGTGGAATTTTTGTCCTTGGTAAAACTCTGACGGTCTCTACACTGGTAACAACGTTGTTTTCTAGGCATAGCCAAACAAATCTCCTCCTGTCTGAAAAGGCGTAGAAAACGCAATTTAGCCACTAAAGCTTTACAGTTTTTGTGAGGGACAGTCGAATTCTATTGTTAAGTTTTTTGTGTTCTTGCACCCACACTTTAAAACTCGTTTCAGCGCCGCCACATATACGTATGCATGCATGCGTGTGTGTGTGTGTGTGTGTGTGTGTGTGCGCGGGAGAGGGAGGGGAGGGGGGACCCGATCGGTGATTTGCCCTGGGGCTGTGTGTGCTGTTGTTCCACCACTGGTATGTACTAAATAAGTAACAATGTAACAACAACGTATCCACTCCTGTTTATTTGTAGCTAGCGACGATTTTTTTAATCCCGAGAATGACACCATTGGCATCCTGGTCAGCACTGCGGTGGAGTTCAGCATAAGCGGAAGGACGATAAAACCAGCAGGTAGGGAGGGGTGCTGGTTTGCTTCTTAACACTCCCTCGAGTGACAGAGAACCACTTGCTTCATGTAGAGTAATTGGGTGATGAAAGGGAATAAGGTGTAACTTTATACCACTGAGACTTAACATAAGACAGAATACCTTAATAGCTGGTTTCATTCATTGTTGCTTGTTGCAATCTTTTAATTGGCCAGTGGTGGGTGTGAAACTGGACCTAGAGGCCTGGGTGGACAAGTTCAAGATCCTGGCCAGCAATCAGTCAGACAGTCGGCAGGTATCACACAAGGTACTAAATGTCACTGTTCTTTCTTTCTTTTCATCTGCCTTGTTCACTATAGCTTTCACATTTTCACACTAGCACTTAAGCCAGCAAAGAGATGCACAGACAGTCACTCAAAACAAATAAACATAATTTTGCATACCAACATCTAGTCAGACAGTATTGGATTACTGTCATAAACGCAGTGGGGCACAGAAAGATACCAGCACTCAAAGATTACCAGATACACACATGAAAGAACACAGAAATACTCCAAGTTATAGAATACCTCTATAGTTGTATTTCCCAATCCAGTCCTCGGGGACCCACAGGTGGTCCCAGGTTTTGCTCCCTCCCAGCTCCCTGCCAGACAGACCATAGTGCTACGGAAAGCTGGCAGGGAGCAAAAATGTGGACTTTCTGTGGGTTCCAAGAACCAGATTGGGAAACACTGCTTTGTAAAATACCAGAGGAGGCAGAATGAGACCCTGATTTGTGTTGATTTGCTTTGGACAGTGCGGGCCCTCCAGCAGCTGCGAAATGGACTGTGAAGTCAACAGCGACGTAAGCCTTTTGCTTTCTGTTGTTAAATCCATTGCCAAATAATACTGATTACACATGACATAGCAAGTGCACATATGAATCTGCAGGGACAAGAAAATAACTATTTATGTGACATAATGATGAGAGGTACTGCAGTTTGCAAATACGGGATTAGACAGTGTCAGTGAGCCTCGAGAAGAGCATGTAAACGGGATGGCGCCAACCGGCAGCAGAGTGAAGTGTGTCTGCCAATCTGGTGTGTAGGATTTGCTGTGCTACCTGATCGACGATGGCGGCTTCCTGATCATGTCAAACCAAAAAGATCATTGGAACAAGGTAAGCATGGATGGGATGGGTGTGGGGGAAATCAGCTCCCCGGGGCTCGCTGAATTTGTCATATAAGGGTTATAGAAATAATTACCAGCAAGTGATTGAAAATTGAATAACTGTCTGCCAACTGCAAAAAATGAAAAAGAAAAAAAAACTTAATTGTCTAATTTGTGTACGTATGAAATTTTACAGGATAGAGTGGTAGATGTGACAGACCCTCTTAGTCAAAGAAAAATTTCCTTGCTGTTCTTAAAGTGCCACCATGCCCATCTTTAAGCTCAAAATAAATAAATTGCAGGGCCCTGATGGCATCTTACCTATAGTTTTAAAAGAAATGAGGGATATTATTAGCCAACCTTTAACTTCACTATTCCAGAAATCATTATCTGCTGGTGTGGTACCTTCTGATTGGAAGCATGCTAATATAACGCACATATTCAAACAAGAGGATAGAAGTAATCCAGCAAACTATAGGTCAATCAGTTTAACTTGCATAACTGGAAAAGTAATGGAAGCTATAATCCAAGTGAAAATGGTAGATTACCTGGATTAAAATAACATTCTGAGGGATAGCCAACATGGATTTAGGAGAGGTAGATCCTGCTTAACTAATCTACTGGAGTTCTTTGAGGAAGCTACAAGATAAATTGATCACAAAAAGGCCTACGATGTGATCTACTTAAATTTCCAGAAAGCCTTTGATGTTGTCCCCCACAAACGGCTCTTGCTAAAGATCAAAGCTGCAGGGATTTTAGGAACTGTAGCAGCTTGGATCAAAAACTGGTTAACAAACAGGAAGCAGCGGGTAGTTATTAGAGGCACAATGTCACAGTGGGCCTGCGTTCATAGTGGGGTACCGCAGGGTTCAATTTTAGGACCACTATTGTTCCTAATTTACATGGGGCGAATAGCCTCCTCTCGTTTGTGAATTTCTTATGTTCTTAATGATATTGACACCAATACATACAATAAACTGATTAAATTTGCAGACGACACCAAGGTGGGTGGTGTAGCAGATACTGATCTAGCAGCACAGAGGCTACAATGGGATCTTGATTTAATTAGCGACTGGGCTGATACCTGGCAGATGGCAGATGAAATTTAACATAGATAAATGTAAGGTAATCCATGCAGGGAGCCGAAATATAAAGTACAGATATTTTATTTGTTCCACTGTAATAAAGGTAGCTGATTATGAGAAGGACCTCGGTGTGTATGTTGATGCTTCCATGTCCCACTCTCGGGGAGGGGAACAAGGCCCTGAACCTCAAGGGTGGGAAAGCAATAACAAAGGCCAATAGGATGTTGGGTTGCATCTCTAGGTGTGTGTAGTTTAAGTCAAGGGAGGTGATGCTACGACTAAATAATTCCTTGTTAAGACTCCACCTAGAAAATTGTCTGCAGGTTTGGTCACCATACCTTAAAAAGGACCTTGCTGCCTTGGAAAGGGTGCAACGGAGGGTTACAAGAATTATTCCTGGTCTTAGAGGAATGTCTTATGAGGAGAGGTTAGCTGAGCTGAATCTGTTTAACCTCGAGCAAAGGAGACTAAGGTGGGACATGATCCAGGTTTATAAGATTCTAACGGGTCTGGATGCTGTTCAGCCAAATGGCTATTTCAATATTAGTTAAAATAATAGAACTCGTGGCCATAAGTGGAAATTAGTGGGAGAACATTTTAAAATGAATTTGAGAAAGCACTTATTTACGTAGCGTGTAGTTAGAGTATGGAATAGTCTTCCTGCTAGTGTTGCACAAGCTAAAACCCTGAGTTCCTTTAAAACAGAGCAAAAAAGATTTTAACTCTGAGCTATTAGTTAAGTTCCCCCCAAACGAGCTTGATGGGCCGAATGGCCTCCTCTCGTTTTTAAATTTCTTATGTTCTTATGTTCAAACATTGGTATGTTTCCTTTGTCCAGGTCGGCATGTTTTTCAGCGAGGTGGACCCCTATCTGATGCACGCCCTCTACAATGCCTCCTTCTACACCCGCAGGCAGTCCTATAACTACCAGTCGATTTGTGAGACCCTGCCCAGCAGTAACACGGGCGCTGGGCCCAGAGGAGTGTTCGTGGTGAGTAGAGCAAAGCTGGTATTTCCAGGACCCTGTCTCTGCTGTTTTGAGAGCTCAGATGTCCTGTGGCCTATACAGGGCTTGCCTGCTGCTCCTTAAAAGGCAGCCTTTGACCTTGGCTTGTTCTTCTCCACGTTCCCGTCTGCAGCCGACTATCGTGGACTTCGTAAACCTAGCCTGGTGGACGTCGGCAGCTGCCTGGTAAGCATCGCGGGCAGAACAGGGACCATGGCTCTTGTGAGTTCAGACATATCAGTGTTAGAGATTCTTAATCAATAAAATGTTCTGTTCACCTCAATCTCTTAAGCCAATAACAGTAATACACTACTTAGCATCATTACACTGAATTTCCAACAAGAGTGGTGTGACTTTTGTTAGAGTTATGTGTGGCTTAGTCAGGAGGCGATCACAGTTATGGCTCAGCAACGGGAGCCTGAGGGAAAACAAAGTCACATTCAATAACAATAAGATAACCAATCCTAAAAACATAGGGGAAACTGGCGAGTAGAGGGTCACATTGCTAAAGCATTGTCACATTACCAACAATTGGTTGATTGGATAAGCCTATTCCTGTACCCTTCAGCATTAGAGAGGCCGTGCTGTTACCGGATCACCACGTGGTTGGAAATGGTTTCCGCTTCTTGTCCTTCTCTTCAGGTCCCTGTTTCAGCAGGTGCTCTATGGACTTGCGTACAACAGCTGGTTCATCACTGGTAGGTTCTCGTGGACTTCCGCCCTCTTGCCTAGCCATAAACATGCTACAAATTCCCTGAAACCCTGGACTGGATAGATGGTTGGAGGATAGATGGACGGTATTTTAAATTAAACATGTACAGTATGTTAACAATTGACATACTTGAATCATCAAATCAAGTTGAACCAAGTGCAAGTCATGTATTTTGTGGAATAATGCTAACAGTGAAAAAAGTAAAATAAAATAATTCATAAAATGTATACTTCTGTAAAAATGGAAGTGTATTTCATTAGCAGATACACTATATGGACAAAAGTATTGGGCCACGAGTACTTGGTACAGACATATCTCAAGACATTTTGTACAATGGACTCTGCTTTCAACTTTGTGGGAACAGTTTGGGGAATGCCCTTCTTTGTTCCAGCATGACTGTGCCCCAGTGCACAAAGCAAGGTCCATAAAGACATGGTGAGTTTGGTGTTGAAGAACTTGACTGGCGCACACAGAGCCCTGATCTCAACCCCATCAAGCCTCTTCCAGTCACACCGATTAACTGCCTATTGCCGGACCGTTGGAGAAGTGTCTTTGACAGGGTGGACAGTCCAGAGGAGTAAGCACCCCCCCAGCTGCACTGGCTGTGCTTCTCATCTGTGCCCCTCTCACTGTGCTCTTTTAGATGATGTGGAGGCAGAAGGTTTTGACTCCAGGGAGAGCAGCTGCATCACGATACAGACGCAGTACTATTTCACAAACATCAGCAGCTCCTACAACGTGCTGCAGGACTGCGTAAACTGCTCCAGGTTGGTCAGGGCGAATTGACGCATTAACATGCAGCGCATCAGGCATGCATTCATATGTAGGAGACAGGTAGTGTGAGCCATGCATGCTGTAAAATCTGTACTAGAGCTGACCATAATACGCAATGCCTGGAGAGCTACAGGAACACGTCTGTAGTGCAAAAAACACAAAAAACTTCTGCAAAGTAACCTTGATATATAGGCCTACATAGAAATTGCCAGTGCAGTGTTTGTCCTCAGTAACTCTTATGGAAATCCTAGGAATGCTCAGAGTTCAGAAATTGCACCCTCTCCAGAAAGGGTACGCAGCTGTAAACGTAGATGTGCCTCATGCCCTTGTTCTCTTCGCAGGCTCTTCCATGCTAAGAGGATAAATAACACCAACCTGCTGTTTGTGGTGGCGGAGATGCCCTGTGCCTCCTGTGACATAGACAAATTGACACATGTGGAGACAGAGTGTATCCTGTACATTTGCTACGGGGAACCTGCACGAGCGTGCTCAGGTTCCCCTCACATCCCAGACGTAGTTTTGGAGCAAAGTGTTACTGGTTATTTTGTGAGCCAGCAGACAACTGCAGGGAGACTGCATTGATTTTATAAAGTGTCTGCGAAGCACTTTATGGCAAAAAGCAAAATATTTAGACATCCGATTTATTTTAGAAGGAGGGGTAGAAGTAAAAGAAAGATTCGACTGGGATTTTGCTGATGTCTCTACTATTATATCAAAGATTCTGATTGTTTTTTTTCCAGAAGGGTGATGAATTGTCTCTACATCTACCTGACTGAGGCAAATGCTTACCTCATAGTTATTTGGTTAGTCACACAGCAAGTGGTCAGTCTGTCTGCTGGCTGAAAGGATATACTGTACCAAAAGTTGCTTTATGAGATGATAAGATGGTGTCTACATGTCTTCAGGTCATATTACTGTCAGCCTATGGATGTGTAGAATTATCAACAGGTGACTGGAGATGTGTTACCTTAACCTAAACTAACTTTTCAGTCAAGAAGATTGATCCATGTGAGGAAATTAGCACAGCACGATACCGGAAAGGACCTTCGACCTGCTTTGACTATAACATTGCGGTATAGCCTCATAATCATCCTCTTTCTTGCTGTTTACTATAGGGCAGTTGAAGCAATTACAAATGAAATGGTTATTTTTGATCACTATGTTTAAATATGCATGAATGAATTGTGTTTATTGGGTGTGTTTATTGGGTGTGTTTATTGGGTGTGTTTATTGGGTGTGTTTATTGGGTGTGTTTATTGGGTGTGTTTATTGGGTGTGTTACGGTAAAGATGTGGTGTGTTTATTGGGTGTGTTACGGTAAAGATGTGGTGTGTTTGCTGACCGCTCTGATACTGCTTTGCTTTTTGCAGGAAAACACTTCAGACTGCGGGCGGGGTCACTCTTTCCAGCCATCATTAGGAGTCATCATCTGTCTTCAGTTGCTTCTCTTTTGCCTGACAGCCTTCCCACATCTCCCATCCATACCCCTATCTTCCACCCTTTAACTTCATCAGCCTCCTTTTCCATTTCCTCCCTCCCCATCTTACCCCTTCTTTCATCTTTACTTCTCTTATTTTTCACCTTTGGTTCACCCCTTCTGATCCCTGCCAACGGTCCAATCTCCCTCCACTTATCACTGATGATGGGACTTCCAGTCACCCTCTTATGGAAGCCCTGAGTACTGTTTCCCATCATGCCTAGCGGCCTAGCGTCATGGGCAGTTGCTTGGCAATGGTTGCTGGGCTGTGTTTTGTGCAACCAGTCACTTTCATCCAAGGCAGGAGCTCTGTATTCTGTCAAAAGAAAGAAGAAACTAAACCATGACTAAAAGAAACACCATCAAAAGACGCATTTTTGCAAAAAGAAAAAAAAAACAGGTGGATGCCCTCTTCAGTAACTCCTGCCAACATAGAAAAAGAAAAATTCCTCAACTGTTCAGGCTGGAGGAGGGGGCAACAGCAAGCATAAATCCTCTTCATTACTCATGGACCCTCCAGAGATTTACTGGACCCTGTCCCTTGCATTTAAGATAGGTCTTTGTACTATTCCGAATATAGCAACTGGAAAAGAAAAGCATTTAAAACACAATAACAACATGGAGAAATAAGTATACAAAACACTTCCATTTGTTATGGTTTTAAAGGGATGCCATCGGAAAGGGAAGCTATTAGATTATACTAGATAACTAAAAACACCCATTTATTTATGCACTATATCTACTTCTTGCCAAAATGAGATATACTTTTCTTGTGGTCTTATTTTTTATAGCCAAAATAGCAAGAGGAAACAGGTAAAAAATACACTAAGATTAAATAAATAGAGTAATTAAAATACAATAGCTCACATATCCGTAGACACTAATTGTCTCCAAAATATGATATCACCAGTATGGCTCGTCTGTAGTCCTACCCTACATGTTTGCAGGGGGCATCCTGTGCAGTGCAGATCTTGGTGTCTTTCAGATGCGACAACCAAGTCATCTCCAGCTTAGCCGAGTCCCTAGGATTGCTTTCATATTGGCTGGTTTAAAGAATACATTCAGCCACGAAATACCACGTTATCATGCTTTGTTTTTTAGACCTAAACTATTTATTTTAACGTAAGGGAGAACTTCAGCTTGCGGTCAGGCTGATAAGCCAAGCCAGTAGGTAATAGTGATGGCAATGTAATTTGAAGATGTCCAATAAATATCCATTGTCCTGGAATTTAAATGCTGTGGCATTAGATTCGGGGAGGGGGGTACTTTTTAAAAACTGACCTGCTATTAATCACATTAGTCATAGTTCACTCATCCTTTGTTCCAATCAGTCGTGCCAGAGTGCAAGCATCTTGTTGTGTAACCATGGTTGTAGAGTAACCTTTCGTACTTTCGCGGCCCATTGTGTGAGAGGCCGAGCAATTTGTGACCCTTTCCCAGTCCACTCAGCATACGGTCTGGACTGTAAATAAACCCAGGGCACAAACGTCTGAAACAGAAGGACTGCTGACTGGACACTCGTTTTTCATCTTTGTGTACTCCGTGGCCTTCAGAAAGTGCAGTCTCACTCACGTGTGTTCATGGGAATGTGGATGTCATGAATGCCCAAACCATGACAACTGACGCAACGAAACTCCTATTATAAAGGATATGAGTGTTTACTAATGGGAGATGGATCAAAGGAACTATTTAGAATACTGCCGTAGATGGGGATCTACAAGGAGTTTGGGTTTCGATCCATGAGGGAATGTGTGCTTTCAGAACAGAGTCTGTAATGTAACTCTGTTCTGGGGAATAAATACAGTGATATGTAGGTTTTTATTTTTAGTAGCAGAACAAATGCTGTCTACTCTGTCTACTGTCTAATTTCTTGTCAGATGTTAATACTGAAAAATATGGTGTTATAACTGATTTTTTTTTACCAGCTGTCATTTTCCAAAGTGTTTTCCATTACGGAGATGTTCCACATTCTTGTCTATTAATATCATAAACGTGTTCTGAAGAATGTCTCTACTATTATATCAAAGATTCTGATTGTTTTTTTCCAGAAGGGTGATGAATTGTCTCTACATCTACCTGACTGAGGCAAATGCTTACCTCATAGTTATTTGGTTAGTCATACAGCAAGTTGTCAGTCTGATAGTGTTGTTGGCTGACGTAGTATTATTAGTCAGTATTAACTGGCATAGATCATAGTTTAGACATAATTTTTAACCAAAATGGTTTAATTCCCTGGTTCTTGGTGAAGATAATTTAAATCAGTTTAAACTGGTTAAAATCAGTTCAGCACCCAAGCTTACTGATTTTTTTATCTTCTCGGTGATTAACAAAAACATACGTGTTTTTGTCACATGGACCAGTGTTCTGAATGAGTAAAATGAAATCATGCTCTCCAATATTTAAAAACTGCTTATGGACATAATAACAGCACTCTGTTGTTTTTCTTTGTAGCTGATTAACTAAGGGTTTCATTTGCCATAAAGTTTATAAATGTTTCTATTGCTGAATTATGAAGTGTTTCACCAACGATGGACAGTTTTGGCCCCATGCTTACTCTGTCGACATGGAACATAAGACCGCTGAAAAAGCTTGGTCATTGGACAGTTATCTACAACAGTAAACCAGACAATACTTTAAATTGTTTTCAGAAGTCCTACCTAGTGTTCTGAAAAGCTCAGTGAGATAGTTCCTTACCAGGTGTATGAGTCAGTATCATTTTCAATCCTGCCTTGCTAATGGTTCAGTTCGCTTGGCACCTGATCCTGACAGTAGATGCAAATGTGCTGTTTGGCTTTCTTCTGTTGCCATCTTTCTTGAGCTGTTTTGCCTGTTATACCCATGATTCAACCTGCTCCCCTTTTGGTTCTGTCACTTCTGGACTTTGCTACGGAGCGCGTGTCATAGTTCTTATAGCTGACATCTATGGCAGGTTTTCTCCAAGACAGAACTTTTAAGATGCACTGAAATCGTGAATATTGCTTTTCTCTAAGTATGTGGGTAAAGTTGTAAGTTCCCAGTAGTCTGAGGAAAAGCAAGCATGAGGATGATTATGTCTCTGTTGTTACAAAATGTCTCAGCAGCTATGGAGAACCCATTTAGACAAGTACAAAGTCATCGGTGTCATAGCAGAAGGACTGAAAGGCATTCTTTGTGACTTTCATGAAGGTGCAACATGCCTGTGAACTGGATTGTTTCTGGTACAGTTGTGTGTGTGTTTACCTGTATATTTGGGAGTGTGGACATGCACAAGAATCTGTGATGACAGCAGGCACTGTGCAGAAAGCAGATAAAAGCAAGAATGGCCCAAAGGCCAGAGCACATTGGGCACATTATGAGATACAGATCTGTATTGAATATTGTGAACTTGATGATCTGACAATTTCAGTAGTGTGCTTTCACTGTGTGAACGATGCATTTTCCCTCATTTCTTTGACCTTTATTTCACTCCGAAAGCTTTGAACACTCAGGTCACATCCTTCATTTTGTCTATCTCAGTGCTCTGTGCACAGCACTTAACCCTTTGAGTGCTTCTTATCATCGAATTTCCTCAGTATGACACTGGAAGAAGTATGATTTTCACACACTGGATACAATTGTGAACACCAGCTTCCTATGAAATCCATCTGTTAATGAAAGACTGAGAGATATTTCAGGACCACCTTTAATTATTTGTCAAATCAGTCTTTTTATTCTCAGTATCATTTTGTCATCTGGGCAGTTAAATGATATTCAAAAAAGCCTAAACTGTCTCCAGCTTTTCTTTCTTTGAAAGAAAAACTTGGATCAAAAGCCCCTGTATATTTTTCAGTGCTGATCGGTCGATTCCCAGATTGCGTTCTTTCCTCCCAAAGCTTAGCCAGTCAACGATGCAAACGTGGGGGATGTGAGCCCTGCAAAAGCAGTCCCACTCTGCAGTGCTTCACTTTCAGAATTGCTCTGCTTTTGTCACTTTAGGTCCTTTCAGTGTTGTTAACATAAGAGTGTATCTTTGTGGACCATTCCACTTCAAGGCTTCACCTCCAAGCACTGACCATGTAAAGCTATTAAATATGGAGGGTCAGTCAAGGCGGGGGCTGTCTTTACAGTGCCAGATGTAAACAAGCCAAGAACTCTGTTTCCCAGACCTGCTACCCAGCTCTTGTCAGCAAAGCTTGCTTCGCCTCATTGGGATTTAAAAGGAACCTGTGACTCAGCAATGTGGAGTCGACAGGACTGGATATTCTGTTGCAGTGTGTTAAGTGGCAGTGGATGTATTGTTGTGTATCCCAACTTAGAGGGCGTGGCAAGGGACATGGCTCTGTGGCCTGTGGTTTTCAAAAAAATTTACCTTAGCCAAAAGAAAATCATTTCGGCTGAAGGGGAGGGGTTTCTGTCGTGTGCCCCTCCCTCACCAACTGTGTTCCTTCACCATGTCTGTGTAGGTGCGTCTTCTATGGGAAAGCCTGTGACCACAACAAGTGTGTATGTGATTCTGTAGTCTGTAGTCTGGTGCTATGTGACGATGTTTGACAAATGTGGATTAAAAAAGAAAAACATTACAATGAAAAAATAATTCATCTTTAAGTGAGATTTTAAAAAAATTATATGCGGCTAATAATCATAAGTTTGGGGTCTGAATTGAAGCAAATACTTTTTTTCTTCTTTTTTTTGCTGCTGGTGACAATGTTTGCGAGAAAGATTCAGCTCCTTTTGTCCAAGAAGCTTTGTTTCATGTCGCTCCATTCTTTTGTACAGAAGAAACAAAAAAAGATGAAAAATTTGTAAAATATTGTGTCTGTGACTCCTTGTAAAATATTTTCAAATTGTTTATTACAGAGAATCAGTTATTAAATAATGTTCATATTTTTCACTTCACCTGTGTCTGGAGGTGTGTTTCATATAGTTTTTTTGTCCCTTTTTAACTGTGGCACAATGTTGATGATGTAACGATGATTTTTTTTTTTTTTTTTTTTACTGTTTGCAGCTGTGTCAATGAAAAACCACCAATGAAACAAGATGACAGGAACAAAAGCCGTTGGTCTTAGTGGGAACAATGTTAAAAAATACATTTTAAATAAGATCCAGAAGATCTTGAGCTGGTTACATGTTCACTGGGCATATTCTAAGCGCGGATTTGACAGGGGCACAAGTGGCTTCTCCAGAATGATGACAATGTCTTTCATTATTCAGGGCATCAGAGAGCAGGTTACAGACGCCATGGACAACAAGCATTGTTTGATTTCATAATTAGAAAAAAACTAAGCATGCAATTTTAATATTAATGTTTTATTAAAGTGTTTTAGTTCACCTTCAGAACAGAGACACCTTGGTATCATAGAGACATGTCAGATTTCATTAGTGTGCCAATCATAAAAATCACATGGATTTTTAAACAAAATGATTACAAAAATACGAATCTACAAACTCTTTTTATTCACTGAAAGATAGTATACTTTTAGAAGAATTTACCAGTCAGATAGATGGGGTACTTCTTTCATGAATTCAATCATGAGAACTATTTCACTGGTGAATGATCTAAACTGTCTAGAGTATGCAAAAAGTCCAAGAGTATCTTGTGCCACTCTACAGGTTTGTCAAGGTAACAGGGGTGTCCTGCCCCTTCCATCACCACTACCTTGTGGTTAGCCAACTTCTTCAGGTTGTTCAGGGACACCTCACCCAGCTGTGTGTCCTGATCTCCATAGACAATCAAAGTAGGTGTCTGTAACAGAGTGGATTGGTGCCAAGATTAAAGATGATTCCCAAAATCAATAATACAGTGAAGCTCTGATATGATACGTAGAGAGAGAGCCAGAGCAAGATCAACTGCATAACAAGGTTTATGTTCAATTGAAAGCAATCAATGTAGTGTTTTTTACCAACATAGTTATGTTCAGACTCATGGGTTTTTACATAGCCAATACTAGAATACAAGGCCAAATACACATTTCCATTCCCTGTATTTCTAAAATATAAAATGTTATCTTCAAATTAAGGTGTGCATATGTTTCTTTTTCATTATAGATAAATACAGTTGTGTAACTACTTTCAACTTTACTTGTAATCAGCAGCCATCAACAAACTGAACATGAATTAATGATGACAGGTGCCAATAATCAGGGGTGGGACTTGAAAATTTTTGAGACTAGTCAACTGGGTTATTTCAGTGAAAATGCAGTAAACTAACTAGCCTGCAAGTGGGTGTTTGACTTTTTTGTACTTGACCTTCACCTAATTGCCTGTCTCAGTCGACTGGGCAAGCTTCATTTCCAGCCCTGCCAATAGTTAATTAATCCTGTAGTTTATATTTGCAAAATATAGTCAGGAGTCACGATGGTGGCTGCATTATACCACTAATTGTAAAAATCCACCCACTGCCAAGTTGCACTGCAAAGGCAAAATGACCTCAACTTTGCTTAATGGAGGCATTTTGTGGTCAAAACGAGCTTGATGGGCCGAATGGCCTCCTCTCGTTTGTAAATTTCTTATGTTCTTATGTAAATCTGGCAGTGGCTTGAAACTTATGTACAAAATCAGGTTCGTCACCCTTATGTGTGTGACCCTTAAGAGAACACAAAGCCAAACCTGCACACTCTGGTACTGTTCAGCAGTGAACTTCTCCGTGCAGATGGGTGCAATAGGAATGTAGGCCCCAAGAAGTGGGCCGTGCTGGAATAGGAAGGGCAGGGAGTACATGCCACTCAGGGAGGGGCTGACCACCACCACCGGACCCAGCTGCAGGGCCTCCACCACCTGCTTCAGAAAGCTCCCTGGGGCCAGTTCCCCAACAGCCGCTGGAGGAGTGGCTGCTTTGGAGTTTCCAAAACCTCAGAGGGGAAGAACAGAAAAATGACACCATTAGAGAATAAAAAACTGTCAGGTCATTAAAGAAGCTAATATTGTTGCTAGGATGAGTTTTGTTAAAATGGTACATTTTCTGATAATTTGTGATCTGGAAAAATCATCTCTACGTCTTGAATCTCTACTTGATACCATTCTAAATACATCAATGCCCCCTTGAACACAATACATAAAAGAAAAAATCAATATTAATTTTATGGGGCTTAATTGTACCATTTTGCCAGTTCCATTTTCACAATACTCACCCTACCTGTATATAAATACTGGTGTAAGAAAATCTTGTAATATCATGTGCGCTGTAACTGCATATTTGGCAAGTAAACACCCCTAAAACAAACAACAGGAGTACCGGGCAGATCGATAGCAACTGCGCGGAAGCCAGCTTTAGCGATGACCTCCAGGGTGCCGATGCTGAGCCAGTTCTGTGATGAGAAGCGGATTCCGTGCAGCAGGAGGACGGTCATTCGGCAGGCAGGCCCGGGGGGCTCCGCCTGCCGGTAAAACAGCGGCTCCCCACCGCCTTCCAGCGATGTGCATCCGTCAGTTAGCTTCACCGCAGACATGCTGCCCTGCAATCAACGTGCGGCAGGTGACGACTCGTCCTAAAAACACGGAGGCTCCCGAAAGATAATCTCTGTCCAAGTTTACGCTCATGGAATTAGTCTGCTTGGCATTCCAGATGTATCATTTAAAAATCACAATATTAATGTTAACTTTAGTATTTCCTCCAAGCCACACCCCTAACTTTTTTGTACAACCGAATTAATAAGCATTAATACATTAAAATATGCCGTTTTACCAGTGAATATATAATAGTAAATACAGTAAATGCATTAGATAAATGATGCCAGTAATATGCATGATCCAATGCTAGTCCTACAGCATACTACTCTTACACATATCGATCTTGAGATCAAAGTCCTCTGGATTTTTCTTCCTTGGTTTAACTGTTGGTCAGTGGACGACGAAGTCACGTATGTCGTTGATTTCGGTTTCTCATGACTCACCGCAACACTCTTATTAGATACGTTATGGAAGATTAACGAACTGAGGAATTATCACACTTTTCCTCGTCTGTTTTTTCCACCGCGAAGAAGTTTCACTTCTGCCGGATCCGTCTCGCCCTGAAGCGTGATACTGACCCCTGCTGGGGAAGCATGAGAACTTAGGGATTACGAAACTGAGCACCGCACATTGTGGAGTAACAACCAGCATCATCATTAATGTTGCTCGTTGAAATGTTCACTTATAGAATTTCTGCTTTGTTACATTTAAATAGAAATATTACACACTCACATGGGGCATCAATCATAAGTTTGTTCTAGGTATGCAGTATTCCGTTTCGGGTGTAATCTGTATTTTTTTCCCGTACTTCTTCAGTCTTTGCCAACCAAGCATTGAGAAATATCCGGTAAACTTGCAATGGAAAACAGCGGGCAGGCTTTGATAGTAAGCGAACATATAATCGTATATCTTCGTTGCAGTTCCCACCTCAGTCGGTAGGGGGACACAATACGCTTGCAAATACTAGGCCGTGTAACGGAATAAAAGTTCTTCGGATACATTCGCTTCGCTTGAGTGCTCGTCGGAAGCGTGTTTACAATGACAATGAAAATTAAATCACTTCTGTTTTGTGCCGTATTTGCATTTTACAGTGGACTGGCTAAAGGTAGGAGTAAACGTGCTATGTAGAAACGGTTTATGTGGTTTTTATTTTTATGCTGAAAACAAAATGTTTGTTTACGAACTTCCTCTCCATAGGCGTCCTCCAGTTAATTTCGTCATTAAAACCCGGTGAAAAGTAATTAACTACAGAAATGTTAAGTTAAATATATTTTAGAAAACAAACATTAATCTAATTGGTAATTCGTCACGTATTGGGATCTGTAGTTATTTTAATTGAATTTACGTTTATTTCAGTAATTATTAAAACAACGCAAATTTTTACATTTAGCGAGGTTGTTTCTTGTGTTACTCCATGGCCTTACGACCCACATAATGCTCCCCGTTTCCCCCGTTTTTAGGACTTCCTCTAGAAAATATCTGTGAGGTATTTTGCTGTCACTTGTCTGTGAAAACGCGCTATATAGCCTAATAAAAACCAGTGCCTGTATTTAACGTTAGTGGCTGTAGACAGCATTGAGTATGTGTGCGATTGCATGTCGGATTAGTCATTTTTATAGGAAATGTGGCTTACTGAATTTTTTTATATTGACAAATTGCAAAGTAGTTTATCTTAATTGCAAAACACAGGCAGTTGAATTTAACTTCCATAATATGGACATTAAAACTTTGAGTGCAACAACCAAACGTGCTTGTATATAATTATTGTTAAATGATGTAAGGGTAATTTTATTACCATGGAATATTTACATTCAGTACTGCTTTGTGTGCTTTGAGCTTCTCCAGTGAACTTTATCGGTTGAATTTAATTTTGTTGTTAAAAGATCCGCTCCATGCCATCGAGATGCGGCGAGGCTGATAGAAATTTAACGCAAATATCACAGAAAAGCTTTATTTATTGGTTTAGCTGATATTTTGTTGTATACGACAGCTGCCTTTACCGCTTTGTATAACTAGTCATGTACATGGGCCAAGTTACATTATTCCAGTGTGGTTTGAACTTCAGCCACTGAGCGACGAAATCAATCCTTCAGCCAATATTCCATGCCGGTAAATGCAAACAGTACACGCACACGGACTCTGTGGTGGTGGTGGGGGGGGGCTGCCATTTCTTATTATCCGCTTTAAAATCTTGCCACTCAACTGTTTTGATCTTGGGGGAATGTTAGCATCTGGCTGGCGTTCAGAACGCATGGGGAATTTCCCTTATTTAATCTTTTCGGTAAGGTTATGTTATAGTTACAGGCAGGGCCGGCGCCTGAGAATCAAACGCCCCCTGCAAAAACTAGCAAACACCGCCTCCCCCCGATGAAGAAAATAAGGCTTGCATGTGACGTCACACTGTTTTTTAAGTAAATGTTTTATTTTCATTTTTCACTTTCATATCTATTTTGATATTTGAAGTCAGATTTTTTCAGTTGCTTCTTTTTTGTTTTAAGTGACAGCAAATGCTGCTCACAAAGGCTCTTGGGATCCGCACATTGTATTACAGCACAAAATTCAGAACTGAATCAAAATTACATTTAAACTGGAGATCCGACGGATCGAGAATCGGCAATATGTGACCGATCCGCCTGATACTTAGTTTTCGGCAGTCGGATAAGATAAATATTTCTTTTCAAATTGATTTGTACAATCAACCGCAGGACAGCTCGTTCCCATTTAGTATGGCAAACCAAATTGTCTTTTATTAGTATAAGGCTTACTCGTCATAACTTAATTCTTGCTAGTAAAAATATAATTCTTAGTGAGAATATGAATTCAAGATATTTACAATGCTAGTGACGCTGTTGCCAGTGTGAGAAAAAATTGTGGGGTATTTTAAGCATTCCTCCCTTGGAAAATATTCAAACAGAACTGTAAAATGCCTCAAAAACGCTTAAAATAAGATGTACAAGCAAGGTTAACAGTACGTATAGGTGTAGCCTAATTATAGATTTTCTGACATATATTATTTGTATTTACTAGTTAAAATTATTAAAGTATAAATATTGACTATATATATAATTATATTAAAATATTACATTAAAAAGAACTCTTGTATCAGAATCTGTATCAGCAGATGTGTATTGGAATTGGATAAAAAAAAAAATGTGGATTGGCCCATCCCTAATTTAAACCAAAAAATAAAAAATTAAAAAATAAAACTTTGAAACACTTATTTTTAGTTTAAAAAACACAACAATGTATTCAAAGTACATGAAAGCTTGAACTTCGTTTTCAATTCTTACTTCAAATTAACAAAAGTATTGGCCTTGATTTTGCATCATACATTTACACATCTTAAAATTTGATGTTACTGTGAAAACCCTTAACAGCCCTTGTGTTCATGGAGATCAGTTTGAAAATTGTAAGAATAGTGTAACAATTACCCATGTTTCTATGTGTTCGTTTACGTACATAACAGTATTGATCTTCATTTGCTGGTGAACGTAGGCTTAGCTTTTGTTAGCATGCTAATTCTGTTGCATCTCATGGTCCCCATTCTGTTTATGGTTGTGGGGACTTTTGGCGATGGTAATGTTAATATTAATGTGAATACAAGTAATTTCATGGCTTTTTTGTGTCACACAAATTATGAGAGGTAAGCTGATGACTAAAATAAATTGTTTGATTTTAAAAAAGAAAAAATCCTAAAGGTGAGTCTTATCCTTTCATGTTACTAACAGTTAGGCAGAGGCAACATTGACTGGACACCAATACTGAACTTGACACTGCAGTGTGAAGAGTTTGACAGCATCACAGGTGTCAAAAAAGGAAAGTAAACAGAAACAACTCAGACAGTCCTTTGGGCTACATGAAAGTCGCACTAGTGATAAAGTATTTCCATAACAACATGAACATAGGCCGATATCTTTAATCCCTTCAAAGTAAAATTCTGAATGTCACTGCAACTTCCCAAAGACAAGCAGCTTAAAGGTTAAAAATAACATTTGACTGCTACACATAATTAATAATAAAACATAATGTGTTTAGCAGTACAAGTAATGGCTGGCATATTGTGGCTAATTCATTATCTCTTCAAATAAAATTCTACATGTCACTGCAACTTCCCAAATACAAAATTATGTCGCATATGACATACACAGCACTTGACTCGTTATGGTTAACTACTTCCCTATTTCAAAGTGTTTTTATTACATTATACACAGAATCACAGATGTGGTTTCAGTTATGCTATGGTATGGCGGTATATTAAAAATTCATATTGTATGGGTAACTGGTATATCGGATGAACGGGTATACCACCCAGCGCTATTCTGAAGATTGCAAAATGTATGTTTGCACGGCAATATCACAAAACTGTCAATACAAAAATATACTATGAACAGTAAACACACCAACTGGTGGAACATTATATAACTGGAGTAGCATCCACCCCTGTTTCTGCAGCCAAAAGACTTCTCGACTTCTCCAATATGGCAGTTAAATCATTGCACTTGTAGTCATATAACAGCAGGTCTAGAATTTACTGTGTCATAGATTGCAACCCTCCCAGGGCACCCCCAGCAAATTCCAGGTTTGCCCTGGCTACGCACTGGCCTTAGTTACATGTATCGTCTCAGAACACAGCAAGCCTAAATACACTGTAGTTACACCTACAGATTCTGAACTTGTGTTTAATAGTTTTGTTATAGTGCATGTATTATGTGCACTGAATAAAAGCTTAGGAAATTTTCAGATAGATGCCAGAAAGTCTTAAGTTATACAATAATGTATTTACAAATAATAATGTAGGCAGGCTGCTTTTAGGTACTGTCGGGAACCGGAACCCCACTTTCATTTGTACTGTTGACTGTGAGATTTTGCTACAAATCATCTGAAAAATGTAGTTTTTTAAGCTTTGAACCGGCAAGGGCTCCATTAGGTGTGAGGGTTATTAGATTATATTCAAATACAGGGTGTACATCTTATGTTACATCATATGTGGGGTCTGTGTGTATGTTTCTGCTCTGCATGTGCTCTTGATTCACATGCCTCCAGTGTGCCTACTGTAGTTAGTTTGTGTATCAGCTCATGTGTAACAATGTGTAGAAAGCCAATTGCTGTTTCAGGACTTATTCACTGTGTAATTTCCAAAAATATGTCATACTTCCTGTGTGATGAGCTGCAGTGGATGTCCCGCATGGCAGATGTTAGGTTCTGTATTCATGTTCATTAGGTGTGTGTGCGGTTTCTGTGTCCTCATCTGTATCAGTGTTTACAGAGTGTGTTTGTGTGTCGTGGCAGCCTCTCGGAGCCCCCTGAATGATTACCAACGTTCTGAGGGCCGTGAACTTGTGTCCAAAGGACGGGATGCAGACCGTACCATGCCACTGTCTGGACTATCCCTGGAGGAGTGTGCCAAGCGCTGTTCTCAGTCCGCAGATTGCAGGTGTCTGCTCACGTAAACACACAGGCAAACATGCCTACACATGCATAATGCACAGTGATACCTGTACTCTGTACAGGGCATGCACTCACACAATAACCACACTGTTGCACAGATCCATTAGTTACTTTCATAATAGATTAGGGCTGGGTAGTATATCAATAAAATATCACATTGTGATTATGGACATTCATATCATATAGTCATCAAGTTGAATGAGTATTATGATATGGCCTAAATACTTGGTTGCTTGCATAATTGACAGTTATAAGGTATGAGTCTGTTGTTGGCATAATCTATCATTATGCCTGCCACACAATTTTAATTTGGCCATCATAATCAGAAAACCACTTGTCATGTTTTACTGTCTTCTACGTATGGATTTTAGAATATCATGATAAATATTGATGCTGTGAAAATCTCTGAAAATATCGTAATTTTCATTTTTAGGGTATGTTGTCCATATATATATATGACGTAGAGATCATTGTAGCACATAGCGTCGGTAATAGCAGTTACCCAGACTTGCATCATGTAATATCTTCCATTTTTTAGAGCATTTAATTATGAAACCCGTCCGTCCTATATGTGCAAACATCTCCCCTGGGTGAGGGACGAAAACACAGCTGAAGTCAAGAGGAACGTCAACTGCGATCTGTATGAGAAAAAAGGTAAATGCATGGAATCCTGTGAGGACAAGAGGCTGTGTGACAGTGATCCGATGTGAGGACCGCAAAGGTGGACACAGAAGGTCAATCTTCTGACAGACTAAATTCCATATATTGGACAAGGACAGATCAATATTTTATCATCATTGTCTACCATGTCTATTACCTGTTTAAATGCTCTAGAAATCTGATGTTTCATAAGCATACAGGCCAGGTATTTACTAGTCAGTCAGCAATTTGAAGAGCCTTTAAAACTTCAGTAAATGTTACATTAGTGTTTAGCAACCTGCATGACATTGCAAAGGTGGATGTTTTTCCTGACCTGACTGAATGGAGAATATTGGTATGACACGCAGACTATGTGCGAAACTGCATTGTGGGTGATGGGAAGACATACCGGGGAAAAGTGTCTAAGACCGAGAGCGGATATGAATGCCAGCAGTGGTGGTCCAAATTCCCACATGACCACAGGTGAGAGACTGCACTGTAAACAGTGAGAGGAGACGTGTGAGTAAAGCTGAGATGTAAACATGAATGCATGTGTAAGAGAACCATGATTAAATGTGAGATGTAAACATCAACACAGACAGCAGCACAGATTATGTGAGACAAACAGGAGCAGAAGAGACAGGTGAACAAGAGAAAGTAAAGAATTATGAATATTGCTATGATGTGGTGAAAGTCTTTGTAGGCCACTATGAAAATGTTCTCAGGATGTAGGGTTTGAGAGAGTGGTGACCCTTGGGAAGTAGCCAACACCAGGAGAATTGTTTTAGCTATTAGCACCTATTAGATCCACTTTTAAGATTAGTTTAGCTATTAGCACCAAAATTTCAATTGCTCGTACAGATTGCTTCTTTCTCAGTAACTGTCAGTAACACTTCTTATGAATGACATGTCTATGAATCTATGAGCACATTCATAACAGAATGCATTCATACAGCATTATAAACATGGCTGTAAATATTTTTAAGAAGGTATAGAACAATATAGTCATGTTTATTATGCATTTTATGAAGCTCTCATCTATAATGCACTATAGATACCTTTATAATGCAGTACAAAGCATCCTTAAATTCTTATACTGATCATTGTATTGCGTTATGAAGGTATTTATTGTGCATTACAGATGAGCTTCATTGGAGCTTAAGAAGTATTATAATCAACACTATGATCTAGGGCTGCATTATGAAGGTACCTATAATGCATTATGGAAGACAGCTGTACGTGAAATGTTACCAAACTGTTCTGAAAAGCCAACAGAATTCTCAGACTCTGTTAGTCAGGTATTGCTTTTGCACCCAGCTGTTAGACCTCAGCTCATCTTCTCAGTTTCGTTTTACTCTTCCATCTCTCCTCTGCACCAGGTGGACTCCTTCACCCACAAATGGTCTGGAGCTTAACTACTGCCGGAACCCAGATGGAGACCAAATTGGGCCTTGGTGCTACACCACAGATCCAGAGAGGCGATTTGAGACTTGCAGGATCCCCCACTGCGAGGATGGTAGACCTTCTTCATGAATGGGGGGGGGGGGGCTCTCTGACTGCTGGATTGGCGAATAGAGGAAATTAGACATAGGTCTTCTGAATTATGGTCTCTGACCTTGATTTTGAATGGTGTCTCAAAAAGTTTACAAATGGATGTCCAACTGAAAGTTCTGGTCCTGTAAGTTTAGAAACAAAAGGAAAAATCTTATTCTAGGTTGCTTAGCAGGTATTTTTCTCTCCAGTATGGCAGTAAGAAGACTGCTTATAATCAGCTTTACTGGAACTCTGATCTTTAAAAGATGTTTTATCAGCTGGGGGGAAAAATGCAAAATGCTTTAAATGTCCCATGAGAGTGTGCTGATGTCTGGCTCACAGTATATATAGGGCCTTTGTAGGTTTCCGTCTGCTCTTTGTATGTTTAACGTGTATGAAGTTTCTTCAGCTACGCATTACCTATATGGCCAGGATAGGAAAGTTATAGTTTGTTGTGTCTGCACCAGAGGTGTGTATTACTTGCAATGGAGAGGACTACAGGGGACAGATGGACCACACGAAGTCTGGCCTTGAATGCCAGCGTTGGGACCAGCAGCACCCCCACCAGCACATCTACCAGCCTGAGAAGTAGGTGCTTTCAGCTCTGCCTTTTACAGGGTCTGTGCCAAAAGTCGGTCTGAACTGTATTTCCCTGATACATATGAATGCCGTTTTTCGCACATGCAATAATATCTATCACCTATGTGTTTAAAGCACATATATACTATTTTTCATTGTCCTGTATTTTATTCTGTTTATTCACTCATTGCCCTTTTTATACTTTTACACCTTTTATGCACTTATCTCTGCTATGTTATATACAGTGCTACCTTTCCCTCGCATGAGAGCTGCTAGTGAAATTTCACTGTAATGTGTTTTACACTGACAATGAAGTCTGTTATCCTTATTGTACCAACTTGTCCAAACAGCACTAACAACCTGCCTTTAAAACACCAACACATTCTTTACCATACCACCAACCAAATACTACATGTAATAAAAAAGAGTTAAAACATAAAAATTTGACAAGTTTACGGACTGGTAGTCACAAGATAAAGAATACAACATCTAACAAAGTTGGTTTTGAATTTGAAGAAAGCATCAATTGGAAGTTGATCATTGTAAAATTGAAATAAGTTTATCTTCAGTCATGTTCAGGATACGTTCTGAGAACTGTGTTGTTAGGCGATTTCATCATTGTGCAAACAGAGTGTAGTAGCACAAACCTAGATGGTATAGGCTACTACACACCTGGGTTTTATGGTATAGCTTAAATAGCTGTAAAAAGTACACCATCGTAAATATATAAACCAGTAACATAGTTATTTATCAAGTATTATGTACTGTATCTAATTGTATGCTATACTTGTAAATGACTGGCAGTGCAGTAGATTTGTTTTCCCCAGCATGACCACAAACACATGAGTAGTGCTACAACATTACAATGGTTACAATGTCATTAGGCGAAATGAATTATTCAGCTCTGTTATAATCCTATGGGACCACCATATATGTCAGGGTTATTCAAATCACGGTCCTCGAGGTCCGAGCAATCCTGGTTTTCCAGCCTTCCTTTACCTGTGAGCCAGGTGTGAAGCTTCTGACCAATCAGAATCAGTAATTATTAAACTAACTACCTGGGAGAACTGAAAATAAGGCCTGGATTTGAAATCGTGATTTGGAACCCTGATATACGTGGTCCTCCATTAACCAAAATGTTGTTATGCGGCACATGACTGTATTTAGCTTTGGTTATGAAGCACTACCCCATTCAGAAGATTTAATGCCTGTGCATTAACCAGTTGACTTGTGCTGGCATATTGCTGGTTATGCATGTGGTGTTCAAGGGCACTCCATCCCACATGCAGGTATCCTGATAAGAGTTTGGATGACAATTACTGCCGCAACCCAGACGCCTCCCCGGTTCCCTGGTGCTACACCACAAACCCAGAGGTGGAGCGTGAAGCCTGCCAGATCAGCAAGTGCCGTGAGTGTCTCCCCATCAGGCCTCCAGCAGGGGGCAGTGGGATATCTGTGTGTGAATGTCACAGCTGGTCTGGAAGAGAGGGAGAGACTCCAAAGGCAGAGAAAACATGACTGATCCTATTATTATCCCCCAGGGTAGGGCATTTAACAAACAACACCAGGTCCATAAAAACATCACACACTACTAACAATCTTCACAAGTGCAGTGCAATTTTTTGTGCCTAAGCCACCAACCTACAATACACATAACTCACACAGGTGCGGTCATGCCACATCTCCTGGGGCAAACCATGGCAAAGTAACCAACGAAATCCCCAAACTGCCTCCACCCAACACATGGTATGCATACCTACCAAAAAAGAAAGAAAAGAAAAATACTTAACTACCCTAACTCCCTGACTTCACCAAAAACAGGTGCGAGTAAGGTAGACCGACAAAAGGCACCGACCATCTTCCAACAGTAATGGACAAATATAGAAACAAAACTTACAAATATGTACATGCTTTTTCCTTTGCTAAGTTATGGTCAAGTAGATGATGACTCCTGGTGACCATGTGGCGCTCCAGAAGTTCTCAGGTGTTTCTCTATATGCGTACTTGATCATACTTGTGTTCTCATGTAGCCATTTTACGTCGTCTTTCATTGCCGAAGACAGTTCCCATACTCCAGAATACAGAGGACAGTAAAAAATCCCCCGATTTCATTTTTGCTCCACTCCAAATATGAAGGATACATCAGTTGCATCCTTACCAAACGAGACCAGTCCCATAATTCATTGCACCCCAGGTTTGTTCCTGGAAGGCAAGTTAGCAAAACCGCTCTTGCCAAGACCACAAGTGTGATCTTCGCATTCTTGGTATTGAGGTCTTCTGCTAGACCTCCTTGCGTTCCATGATGTTCTTAAGTCTTTGTTAGCACCAAAGTTCAAAGTCTTTGAGACATCTGAGGGCATGGAGCCTGAGGGGGCTGGAGTGGACATGCCCATCACTGGGGCTGAGGTGGCCAGGATGGTTAAAGAGCTCCGTGGTGGCCGGGCCCCGGGGGTGGACGTGATTCGCCCGGAGTACCCAAAGGCTCTGGATGTTGTGCGGCTGTCATGGCTGACATGCCTTCTCATCAGTGCATGGAGGTCAGGGACAGTGCCGCTGGATTGGCAGACCGGCGTGGTGGTCCCCTTATTGAAGAAAGTTGGTGTGTTCCAACTACAGGGGGGTCACACTTCTCAGCCTTCCTGGGAAAGTCTATTCCGGGGTACTAGAGAGGAGGGTGAGATCGATAATTCAGGATTCAGAGGAACAATGTGGCTTTCAACCTGGCCGTCGAACACTGGACCAGCTTTATACCCTTTATAGGGTACTGGACGGGGCCTGGGAGTTTGCCTATCCAGTCTACTTGTGTTTTGTGGACTTTGTGGACTTTGTGGAGGAGGCCCTGGGGCCGACCCAGGACGCGCTGAAGGGATTATATCCCTCGGTTGGCCTGGGAACGCCTCAGCATCCCCCCTGAAGAGTTGGTAGAGGTGGCTGGGGAGAGGGAGGTCTGGGTATCTCTCCTGAAGTTTCTACCCCTGTGACAAGCAGAAGTTAATGGATGGATGGAAGTTAAAAGCTGTTTAGTTTGGCTTGACCCAATAGTCAGGAATTGTTGTCAGAATCTTGTTTTTTATTTTTCCCTCTCTTTATCTCCCATGTTCCTCTGCTTTCATCTTTATCTGCCGCTCTGCCTCGTGCTGATCCCTTCAACTGTGCACACTCTAATGGCTCTTTAAAGAGAAGGTCCCCCAGAAACTGTCCGACTCTTGTCACACCACCATCTGCTTCCGTGGCCGTGGGGAGGATTACCGTGGAAAAGTCAACGAGACGACATCTGGCATCCCCTGCCAGCGCTGGGACTCCCAGTCACCACACCAGCACCCCTTTTACCCTCAGACCTACGAGTGCAAGTGAGCCAGAGCCTCTTATGCTGCATGTTTTTTATTAAGTTTATATGAACTACAGCTTTTATACTTTAATGGAGCAAATCTGGTTTTGTACATACAGTAGTTAAAGCAAATGAATTAGTAGGAGGAATGCATGAATAAATGCACAAACTCTTGGCTTCTTATCATACCCATCCTCCAACATTCCGGTACCGCACTATGGATGCACTGATGCCATTTTTTTCAGACCAAGTACAAGTACCGATGCTCACTTTCTGGTACTCGCAGATACCAATACCAGTCAGGGCTGTGCAATGTCTAAAAAAGAATAAGCAATATTTTAACTTAAAATATTGGGATAAATTATAATATTGAACCCACCCCCCACAGCAGCACTAAGTAGGGTAGTTAATGTTTTTTTAGCCGGAAAAAAAAAAACTACATACAGACAATGCGCTTTAAAGCCCTATAGCAGTGGTTCACAAACTTTTTATACCGCATCCCACCTCACTATTACAAAGAAAGCGCTACACTTTCTGTGTACCACCATTTCTACATTGTGTCTGATTGAGACTCGGCTTCTGACTTTATTTTCACTGCATGAGGTTTATTGTTTGACATTGTCTTACTCCATGCTAGTGTTTGCTGCACTTTTGGTTTTTGCAGAGTGCTGTCACTGGTGCAATTTCGGCAAGCTCTTGCTTATGTTTAGTTTTTAGACGTGTGATTAGATTACTTATGTTGTATGAACCTTTTGTACCTCCTATTGATAGTTTAGTTCTATGCTTTGGATTTCATTGTTAAATCTGAAGTATTTCCACACTGCTGACATTTTGTCCCATTTATTTTGCTCGTTAATGATATCGCTGGCACGTCATTATGTGCTATCTGTTATAGGCATTGTCTCTTTGTAGTACAAGTACAAGGACATGAACACGGTGACAGACCGGATACCAATACTAGAGTATCAGTTTTGGTGCATAACTAAAAAGCATAGATGTGTAAGTGGTGGGGGGGGGAGCTTAGAACATAAGAACTATACAAACGAGAGGAGGCCATTCGGCCCATCGAGCTCGCTTGGGGAAAACTTAACTAATAGCTCAGAGTTGTTAAAATCTTATCTAGCTCTGATTTAAAGGAACCCAAGGATTCAGCTTGCACTACGTTATCCGGAAGACTATTCCATGCTCTGACTACACGCTGTGTGAAGAAGTACTTCCTTAAGTCCAGTTTGAAATGTTCTCCCGCTAATTTCCACCTATGACCATGAGTTCTTGTATTTGAACTAATGCTGAAGTAACTATTTGGTTGAACAGCATCCAAACCTGTTAGAATATTATAGACCTGGATCATGTCCTCCCTCAGTTTCCTTTGCTTGAAGCTGAACAGATTTAGCTCAACTAACCTTTCCTCGTATGACATTCCTCTAAGACCAGGAATCATTCTTGTGGCCCTACGCTGCAGCTTTTCTAAGGCCGCAATGTCCTTTTTAAGATATGGTGACCAAACCTGCACACAATATTCTAGGTGAGGTCTCACCAAGGAATTGTATAATCTTAGCATTACCTCCCTTGACTTAAACTCCACACACCTGGAGATATACCCCAACATCATATTGGCCTTTTTTATTGCTTCCCTGCACTGGCGAGAATGAGACATGGAAGCATCAACATACACACCAAGGTCTTTCTCATAATCAGCTACCTTTATTTCAGTAGGTCCCATAAAATACCTGTACTTTATATTTCTTCTCCCTACATGGAGTACCTTACATTTGTCTATGTAAAATTTCATCTGCCAGGTATCGGCCCACTCACTAATTAAATCAAGATCCCGCTGTAGCTGCTGAGCCACTAGTTCAGTATCTGCTACACCACCCACCTTGGTGTCATCTGCAAATATCACCAGTTTACTGTATATATTGGTGTCTATATCATTTATGTAAATTAGGAACAATAGTGGTCCTAAAATTGAACCCTGCGGTACCCCACTATGAACGCAGGCCCACTGTGACATTGTGCTTCTTATAACTACTCGCTGCTTCCTATAGGAAGGGAGAAAGTGTAGCATGCTGTTCTGCACCCAGGCCTTATTTTCAGGATCTAATAAATCAGTATTCAGATTTCAGTCTCTGATTACTGTGACCTTTCACTGGGCTCTTTCTGTGGAAATTACCCTTCCTTTATAGACAGACAGGGGCTGGACATTGACCTGGACATCTGTTTATTTAGCACTTTCTATCCAACCAGCAGCTGGTCATCACTCTGAGCTGATCGGTCAAGGCGATCCTTGAATGAGAGACCCCACCTCCAACAGGTGATGGATAAAACTATAGATAAGTAGCAGGTAGTTTAGTTAGTTTAGTGGTTAGGGGGTGAAAATTGCGACCAGCTGGAGACTTGCTATGGCCCTGTCAAACAAAAGGGTTTAATTTACTTCAGTAAAATACCCTGCTGTTCAGATGTATAAAGTGTAAAAACTGCCATCTGAGTTGCATGTTGCAAAATCATCTACCAGGCAACAACTTCCCCACAAAAGGCCCAGTCTAAGACAGCTGGTCATATTAGTCATACGCTCTGTGTCAGACTAAGCAGGATGTTTTTTGAAATGGTGCGTAGGAAAAACCGCAGGCAAACCAATGTCTTGTTTTTAAAGTTTGTAGAATATACGAGAACCCCACCTAAATTTTCTGTATTAATGTTCTCCGACAACAGAGGAATATTTTTGTCATTTTGGCCACGGTCAGCATGGCATATGCCTACAAATACGCTTGTTTACCAAGGATAAAAAGGCAAATGATTACACAGGAAACTAAAGGTAACCTTTCCCACCTTTGTGGGTCACTGTATCCTTACAGATGTACTTGCTTTGTTGCAGCACAACTTTTCATAAACTCATGAATAAAGGACCTACTCAGTGACTGAAAGTTGCTGAACTGCTGTTAGTGTGGAAAAAGTGAAATTCCAAAATATAGTTATTTTAATTCTGAGAAATTGGGTGGAATTTATCATCACCCTGAGCCATGAGTGACATTACTAGATGAATTCCCTGTGCATTTCATATCTTGCATTGCCCTCTTGCTCCCTCAAGGGGCCTGGAGGAGAATTACTGCCGGAACCCAGATGGCTCCGAGGCTCCCTGGTGCTTCACGTCCTTGCCGGAGATGAGAACGGCGCTCTGCCTGCAGATCAAACGCTGCGCAGATGACATTGAAGCTGAAGGTGAGCAGTTTGTCATAATATAGCACAGACTTTTTTTTTTTATTCTTTTTATTCTTTTGGTAACCAATTATACATCTGTGGTTTTACTCCTGATGTGCTGTAATTTCTTTGATTGACCTGTTAAAGAAACAGCACTATTTAATTCCGATTGGAATGAACACACATGTACTCTGTCCACTGAAGTAAAAGTGAAATGAGGGTACTCTCATTTCCAAAATTCGTTTAAGGGGTTTAGGCAAATGTCTGTGTATGTCCTGCTTTGGACCAGTGTGATTCTTTGGATGCAGTAAAAATCTGATGTGGAATTTCAGTCATGTGTAAAAATGTCCATGCTTGAAACTTTTCAGAACCCTGTTATGTAAGATGGATGGATGGATGCGTAGATGTTAATAGCAAATTTAGTATTTTCATGTAAATAACTTGTATAAATGGGTTACTACAGGATTTGTGAAGAGTAAAAGCAGTAGAAATATAGTACGACTATGATAAGTAGTTTACTAATTTAGTGCCAAGATCTTGGTCTTATGAACGTGATCTGTGCTGGTCTGATGTTCATCTCTCCCCTGTAACTACAGATTGCTACCATGAAAATGGTAAAAACTACAGAGGGGTGGTTCACAAAACCCGTAAGGGAATCATCTGCCAGAAATGGAGTGTCAACACACCACACAAAGCCAAGTAAGCCCTGACTGCACAGGGATACCTGTGGCTCTCTCTGCAGGAGAGCTGGGACGAGATCAAGCGGAACCTGTCAATTAACAAGGAGAGAGCTATGCCCTTGTCTCCAGCTTGGCCTGAAGAGGTTGAGCCCTCATGTCTGCTGCCATCTGGCTTTCCCCGTGCTTTGAAAGCTCAGGATAGAGTAACACACTAGTAATTTGAACGTGACTGGACTGTGATGTCACACAAAGCACATTTTTGACGTGTATCCAGCAGGTCGTTACACTAAATATCAGCAGAGGTTCTGCTGTTCTGCTTGTGGAAAGTATGTGCATGACTTCAGTGAACATTCAGCCATGTAAATGGGTAAACACTACACTAATGCTTCTCGATGGGGTTGTCTCCCTAGTAAATTAGAAAAAGTGATGTATTGGCCTGACATCAGAGCTGTCTTGCATTGCCAAGACCTTGTTAATAATTGGTTGGGCCTGCCAATGTGTCCTCAGGATAAACCCTACGACTCACCCCGATGCAAACCTGACTGACAACTACTGTCGCAACCCAGATGGGGACCAGCACGGACCTTGGTGCTACACAACGGACCCCAAGACGGAATTTGATTACTGCGCCATCAAACAGTGTGGTGAGGGCCAGTTATTCCATTCCTCCATAACTCTTTCACCCCCTCACACAACCAAATAGCCCCTTTACCCCCCCCCCCCATCTCTCCATCTGACATACCGTAGCTTCGTTGGAGTCCAACCTTTCATGGCTCCGACTCGCAGTCAACCTTCTCCTTTGTTTTCCAGCACAATTGCTTCTATCTCCCTCTAGCCCCTTATCTGTTGTTCGCAAAACCTTACATTCCAACAACTTTGGACCCGCTGTTCAGTGATAGATGTTTTCTGTGTTTCACAGCTGGAGAGAAGGCTCACATCACCAGGCCAGCAGGTTAGTTAATTAATACAGAGACTTCTCTGTGGACAATGTAACCCTGGTCTTTCATCCCCGTTTCCACATAAACATAATCAAACACCATGAAGTCAACTATGCTACATGTTCTTATTGCATCACATAAATGGATATTTTGATGCTAGAATATTAATAAGCATCATTATCAGAGATAATGGTGTTTAAAATCTAAATATGGTTTAAATGTGGCTGATATTTGTTCCCTGTGTATGTATACAGAGAATGTGGAGTTCAGCGAGTGTGGAAAGAGGGATGACCGCATGGTCTCCAAGTTTCGCATAGTTGGAGGAAGCCCAGGCAACTCGCCCTGGACCGTCAGTCTCCGAGACAGGCCAGTCAGCAGGGGGCGCCACAGCTGCTCTCCCGGTCGCTATCTCAACAACGGGCAAACCCAGTCCTCCGGGGCTGTAGGGCACTGTTGCTGTCCTTGGGGTCCCAAAGATCTCAATTCTAAGAACGGCAGTCCTTTAGAACAGGACTTTTTGTAACCTCCGTGCTAATGTGACATCGCAATGACTTGTTCACGTAACTCCACACCAACTATTTTCCTTCCTCTCTCATGCAGGAAGGGAAGCCATTTCTGTGGAGGATCTCTGGTTAATTCCAAATGGGTGATCAGCACCAAACAGTGCTTTTCCTCCTGGTAATGAGTTTGTTATGAGGAGGGCAGAGTAAATGAACCCACAAACTTGAAATATTAACATAAAATGTAAAAATTAGGGCTGTCGATCAGTTTTAAAATAATCTAATTAATCGCACATTTTGCAATGAATTAATCGTGATTAAAAACTTTTTTTCTTCTTAAGACTAAAGCCTGTTATAATGCATATTTAAATGTAAAATGAATCGCCAAATTAATTTAGAAAATGATGTATATTTCAGATATAACAAGGTAGTAGGTCATAAATAACAACAGTACAGGAAAGTGCCTCTTGTAATCATTTATATGGTTTGTATGGTTGCTCCATAATGCACTGCGTGATAATGTTGTTAATTGCATGAATTACCTTTTATTTTAACTCGCTAATTATTTAAAATTAATCACAACGATTAATGCATTCATTTTGAAAGCCCTAGTAAAACTTAAACATAGTGTGCTGCCGCAGTGCCGTGGACTAGTGTTAAAGCAACAGCATGAGAAGAATGAAGTGACAGCAGTCAGTGTTTGCGTGTGATGCTGTCCAGCTACGTCGATCTGACGGGTTACACTGCCATGATGGGGACCCTCTTTCGAAATCCCAAAGAGACCGACCCAGACCGGCAGAACATCCCACTTATCAAGATAGTGTGTGGGCCATCCGAGTCGCACCTGGTCATGCTGCAGCTAGAGACGTAAGTGATGGCATGGGGGGGCTTAGCCCATAGCCTTGTCACTGCTCGGCTCCCTGCCGATGTCCCCTATCTCTACACGCCCCTCCGAATGTCATTCTATCCTATCTGCCATATTCCCTACCCGACTCTCCCTCTCCCAGCCCAGCCCAGTTCAACGAGCGCGTTTCCCAGATTTGCCTGCCCCCAGAGCGCTACATCGTGTCAGAGGGCTCCACCTGTGAAATTGCAGGTTGGGGTGAGACTAAAGGTCAGTACATCACTTCCTTGTTCACCACTAGGCTCCTGAGATTCCTGGATACACCATTATCTTTCAGTGGCACCCATCCTATCCTGCTTGTATTCTTCTGCCACCTCTCCCTGGCAGGAACGGGACATGACACAGTCCTCAAAGTGGCTAAGATGTCCGTTCTGAGCAACAAGGAGTGCAACAAGTACTTCAAAGGTCGTGTGAAGGATAATGAGATGTGCACCACCTCCTTCAATGGAGGGGCTGGGGCATGTGAGGTAAAGTGCTCTGCCTTCCAGCTTTTGTTCTAATAGAGACAAATACACAAATGGGTCGATAAATTCAGTCAAATGATGTGGGTCATTTTTAGATGCCACCATGATGCCTGTCCAATAACTTTTGCATATTTCTTCTTCTTGGGCTCTCTGTTAAAAAATTGACTGTGAGCAGATTATAGCCACAAATGTAAAAACATGAGAAATATCAACAGCGGCTGTTCTTTTAGTACAATTTCTCTTTATATCGAAGTGTACTCAAAATGCCTACTGCATCAGTGATCATGGTGTCTTGCAGAGGGATTATGGGGGACCACTGGCCTGTCAGAACAAAGATTGCTGGGTCCTTGAGGGCGTCATCATCCCTATGCGGCGCTGTGGCCACCCAGGGCAGCCAAACATCTTCATCCGTGTCTCCATATATGTCGACTGGATCAAGAAGGTCATGAAGATGGTCTAGACGTGTGGATGCCTTCGTGGATGCAGCAGCCAGATCCAGAGCTGGACAGCATCTATCTCAGATCCATTCCCATTCTTAATGCTCTGCCCAAACACTGAGATGCACGTACAGAATTTAAACTGGACCTTAAACAGAATTTAACCTGTTATGTCCCTCTGTGATGATACTGGCATTTCTGATGGACCCGCTGACTGGCAAGCCATCCTGTGTGATCATGATTTTACCGCTGCCTGACTGTAGGATTGTTGGCCTGTACATGTTTGGAGTTGCGTGTGCATGTTTGTGTCTCTGTGAGAGTCTATTATCAAGTGTTATCAAGTCCCTCACTGACAGCTTTAGTTATGCAACATGTATCCATCCCTCAGAAGTTTGGAAGCTGTTTTTGGGAAAATCTCGAAGCTACAGCTTCTATGTTTAGATTTCATAACACATGTCAACGTCTAATATAACAAGATTTTAATTTTTATATTAATGGAGAACTACAAGAAAATCAGGTTTTAAGATTCCAACAAAAACAATAAAAGGTTGTCCTTTTATACGGCTGGATTGGTCAGTGTCAGTTGAAATGCGCAGTGTGACCTTGCTGGCTCCTCTTCTGTCATGGTGGCACTGCTCCTGTGCTTTTGGCTTTGCCTTGTATCTGTATTTATAATGGGAAAACCCGGAATGCTTGCTAATCCTACTGCATCTGGTAAGGGACAACATACATTTTTCAGCACCATTCTCTGTTCAAGCTAGTTTTAATAGTACTAATTAAAACTCCATAAAACAGTGAATAGTGGAATAGTTCTAGTCAGGCATTTTTACATGCTGCGATTAGTTTTTCCAAATGGCTCATACAGCGTGGTACCTAACCATCATTAGTTAGATTCCTGTTGTTTACAATTCTCATGCTTCTTATATTTTTTCTTTTATTTTCTTTTCATTTTTGCTTTGTACTCACATGATTGCAGTTTAATACTTTTGCACTGTTCCTCCAGTCATATCCTTTGATTTTTATTTCTCCTGGGGGGTATTCCACAAAACAGGTTTTTTTTTTTCATTAGTTAGATATATTGTCCAATAGTAATGTCATTCGCCTCTTCTCCTGTTGGACAGTTTCCATGTTTTGCTTAAGTTATCCCGCTAACTGGGAAATTTTACTCTATGGAATACCCCCCCTAGTAAATGGCCTTTTAAGTTACAAGCGTTGTTATTTTTAGCCAACAATACAAAATAATCCTGAGGTATTTTATTAGAACATCCATGGACCTGTGGAATGGAACTGTGGGGGAAAAGCAAGTCGGAGCAGGTCTTATTTTGGTCTGAGAGGTTTTTATCAGAGCAAAGTGGTTGTTAGGGTGAGCCATATTGCTGGCCCTTTAAGAAGTTCCACCCTATTCCGGGTTGGAGCGTGTTCCCTCACCCGAGCTCCACAAATGCATGAGAGGAGGCAGAGGCCGGGTGTGTCTCGGAATGTGGTGTCTGGAGCTCGGAATGCCTTTCATTCCCCCTCACCCAGTGTATTCGCAAGTATGACTGTTGCTGCTCAGATCATTCACCTTGGCGCAGCTCCCAGGACCCCTCGTTCAGCCCTAGTCCATGAGCACGTTAAATCTCACAGGAGCCCATGCTCTTCTCATGTACTTCACTGGTCCCTCCTGTGATCTGCAGATTCCCTCACCCCTCTGACGTGTACATCATCATTATGCCCCTTCAGGCTGCACCGAATTACCCATTCAGGCAAAACTTGTGTTTTATAGATTAGATGCACAAGCTAATATCTATGATGATCCATATCAGACTGAAGAGCAGTTTTGCCTTTTTCTTTGTCTAGCCAAGCCATGCTTTTGTTTCAGGTGTTTCGTGGCTCCAGTTCAAAAAACACATTTCACTGTGCAGTCAAAGCAAGTTTAAAATATAAAAAAAAAGTATGGAAATGGACCTGTAGGTTTGAGTCAGGTGTGAACTTGAACTACCATGATTTCAAACTTGCTGAGCTTAGCCGCCTATGGCTTTCCAAGAGTTAACCCCCCCAACCTCCTACCCCCACACCGGCCACCCTCTGTTGCTGACCCTAAATCCCCCTCTGCTTGCCTTTTGACAGCTCCCCCCCAGCCTCTAAAAGGGATTTCTTTGTGCTGTATGCAAAGCGGTATGCAGTGCACATTCTGGGGAATTCAGCCTGCCTTGTAAACTCTATAGGAGGATTTCGGTAGCATGGCTCTGATGAGCTGGAATTCAGCTTAAACAAACCTCCAGGCTGGGTCTGATGAAGTCTCATGCGCACTCACCCTCCTAGCGAAACTGTAAAGCCGTATGTGCAAGTGCACACAGGTGCTCTTTACAGGCTGTAAGCCAGGCTGATAAAGTTCATCAATTAAACATTATCATCCTAAAATCTTACAAACTGCAAAGCTATGAAGGCTGACTTTTGATTTTCTTTTAGTCATAAAAGATGCAGAGTTTCTCCACCAGAGCCTTTTAACAGATTTTTTCTTTTGCTATGTTAATATTCTTGTGTCAAGTAGCAGCTCCCCAAGTAGCTGCACATGATCATTAAGGACCTGGTCTTAAGCAGGTGCAGTGATGTATGTTCCACAAGGGGGCAGTGTGTCTACATTATACTGGAAGGGCAGTGTATTTTCTGTAAGTACTTAACTGTAATTAAGCCACTGTGACTCTTGAAGAATCAATACTTACATGACTGAAATATTACATTTTGACGTTAACATCACCTTCTTAGCACATCGTTATTTTCCAAGAAAATTAATTTTTAATACTAAAGTTCCTGATGGTGATACAAATATTAGTTTAAATAAAATAAAAGTTAATTGCTTGCTTGATTAATAGAATCCTTTCCAAAAGTCACACAGATTTGATGTTTCCAACAGGTTTATATGTTTCTTTTAACAGTCTCAGAGTTGTGATTACCAAAAACAGGAACTGGCCCCAGGTTAAGAACAGTCCTCTAATTCCAGTATGTAACTGTCAATAAAAAATAGAACATGTTCCAAAAACTAGCAGAGCTCAATATGATGAGCCGGTTTAGCAAGCTTTCTTTCTGAAAAATCACTCCTGGATCTGTATAGCAGTTTTTCCTTAGTCTATTTCCCATAAGTCAAGAAAATCCTTTCATAAGCTGAAGCCTGTCATATATTTGTGAAAGTGGCATATAGTTACCAAAACCTAAAAAAATATGCTTCAGAATAAGCCCCCCCCCCCCCCCAAAAAAAAGAAATGTATCTTTCATAAAATAATGACAGCTCATTTATTGTTGCTTCCGTGAGAGTGAAGGAATGGCAAGTTTTTCATTATTTTTTCATTAATTTTATTATAATTTACAAAACAATAATTTGTACTGTTTTTTTTTTATTTTGGGGGGGGTTTGACATCAGCTTGTGGTGCCAGTACACTGACTTTCAGTTTGGTATTATATTTTAATAATGATTTGAGATCTGATTGAAGAAGCCACAGTGTAACTCAGAGAGCATAAGCTTTGTCACATTCATATATGCACTATGATGACAAGACATCAAACACAATGTATTTATTTTATACTGGCAAAACACACTTTGAAAATTTTTAGAACTTTTCCAAGAACAATATCTTTACATTTCAAGCTAAATGCAAACTATTCTGTGTCTTTGAACTTTATCTAAAGTAAGATGATGTATTTCTTTGACTAGTTAGTACATTTACATACATTACCTTTCAGAAAGACTGACTAATCGAAGAGTTAAATGACTGGATACCCTGTTTTACTACGCATATTAATTCCCCAGAATTAGTGTTTTTTCCCTCTGTGTGTGTGTCTGTGTGTCCGGGAACTTGCGCATGCAAGTATGGAATTCTGTGAAGATAAAACTGCCTTTTTATGTGTCTCCACACAAAATTAAATTAACTGAAAAACACAGTTGTGCCCATGAGATACATGACATTTTTACAACTTGTGAGAAATCACTCTGAAGTGCAAAAACATTAGATTTTATTAGTTTCTGAAATTATGTGGTTTGGGGGTTAAGGATTTTTCATTTCAAGTAAAATGTAATGTCCCCAGAAATAGTTATGCATCTGTGTGTTTTTTTTAAATGTCATGACATGTAATTGATATATATTAAAATAACATGTTTCTTAATGTGAACAACATACAAAAAAGTATGTAATGCATTTCATATGGAAATACCCATAAAATATCATTTTGCATTGTTGTCTTGTACATTGATAATATATCATATTTTCTATTAATATTTGTTAAATATTTTAAACTTTGGTATCTTGTTGTAGTACAGAAAACAGTAAATGAATGAATGAAAGTTGTGTTAGTAAACAAGGATGGGAATAATTATACACAACTAAACGCGAGAATACAGTTTTATAATGTTCCTTCAGTGTTCATTCTCATTGTGTGAGATGACAGGCTTGCGTTCCAAGTCTTTATCTGATTATAAACATGACAAACAATGCTAAAGCAGTGACCATATAATCATACTTTATCCAAGTCTGAATGGGATTTTCCTTCCTATGATTTTTCAACATTGATTACCCAAGGTTTATTCATTCGATCCTCTTAAAAAACTGTCACCCATAAGCAGTTTCACAGCTTGACGTAACAGTATTCCAGAAGTAGCAGTCAGGCAGTCCATCGTGACTTTGGAAAAACAAGAAGCAATGAGGTATCAGCTTTGGTAGTTTAAAAAACCTCATATCTGACTCATTTCTTTTAGTGATTAGTCATTTTCCAATATTTACCATTTTTCAAAAACCCACCATTACACATGAAGGAGGAATTCCTCCTGGAGCCTTTTAACTTGTGCTTGTTAAAAATTGATTCTTAAACAAAGAATGTTACTAGTATTATCACATTAGATAGGCATCATGGCTTATACTGGTCTGCAACATCTTAGAAACTTTCCTTGGCACACATGTATACATTTCAGGAGTATTTTATAACAGTACCACATAACACAATCAAATAACAATCACTTTGGGTTTGACTGAAACAAACCTAACATTTATATTTTGCACAGAACAATTAGAATCTCCAACTCTATATTACTTAATCAGATTCTACATTACTTAACCAATTTTAGAAGGCTAGCCTAATTATACTATGTTCTCACATAAGACACCCAATATTAAAGTGCTTTTCAGTAGCTTCTCAATACCTTGATTTTTATTCTTCTTTTTTCAAAACAAGTCCCTCCGTCTGTCAGACTTGCTACAGCATACTTCTGTTCTACTTATAAATACGTTATTTTGGTTTCTTTTTTTTCTGCACAAGATGAATGCATTGTTTATGATCATACATTCATACATGATGCAATATTTCATATACTATGCAACAGTCTTTAAAGCTTCCCTATTGAAAAAAATCAATAAAATTGTAAATGCATATTTCAGTAAATTTCAACCGGATAAAAATAAAAAGGTAAGAATTTAGGAGCCTGTGAATGATTTGGTGTTCTGTCCGTTAATGTTCCATATTCCTTATACAACATAAACACGTATATGATAATCCAGTCCAGTCTAGTCACAAGATTGGACTCGGTCGGTGTTTCCCAAACAAGTAGGCGGGTCCGCTTTGAAACAGGAGGTGTGGTGGGCTGCCCCACCAGACGTATAGAGTGTGCCTTAATAGAGAAAGTATGCAGTGATTTTGACTTTATGGCGGTGTACGCTAGTTCTTTGCTGTCAATCGGGAGTGTCTTGATACAAGAATGCTAGGGAAGACTGCAGTGTAACTCGGATCACACACCAAGAAAGGGGGGAGGGGTAAAGATTGAGGGAAGGAGGAAAAGAGAGCGAGAGAGAGAGAGAGACACGAAGTAGCGCGCGAGGATCGGAAAGAGGGAAAAGGCAACAGATATTTAATTAGTTTGTTAGTAAGTTTGTCTCTCCTGTTGTACGGCTCTACTTTCCATACTAGCAATACAAATTAAAAAGAAACAAGTGCCAGCGGAATCTGTGAGGAATCAAAGGTGGACTGTTTAGCTAAAATGTGTATCTATATACTTATGCATTCATTTCATTTAAAGAAGAAATAGAAGAAGCAAAGACCGTAGGAGCAACGTAAGTTAAAATATTTCATTTATACAACGACGATTAAAGGCCTTTTTTTCGTGATTATTTGTGCATTTGGATTCAGATTGATATTACCATTTTTAAATAAACTGTTAGGTTTTCCCCTTTTTTGGAGGGGGGGGGGGTAGGCGGGTACTCCCACCCTCCCAAAAATTCAAGCGCATGCATAGTCTAGACTAGAGAGTTGGTGGGTGGGGGTGTTGTTGGTGTCTCCCTTATTTTTAAGTAACATACGGACTCTTCACGCTTTCTTTATAAATATTTTAAACGCAATGCTTCTCAGGGATTGTTTGCACTGTGGGGTCCTGTATTGGGTGCTAGTCGCAGTTTCAGTATTAACCATATAAATTTAATGGTTTTTGCATATACTCATGTTCACTCTCTCAGCTAGTTGCTACTGAGTATTACTAATAAGTCCATTAAAATGTACCTGCACATTTTTCTTCAGGTGAGCTGCTGGAAAAGTGACTGCGCTATTTGTGACCCATAAATTACTTTATTAATAAATATACGCGTGCTGTTGATTTGGTTCTTTTGTGATAACTTTATTTTTATTTCATTTGTTGTTTAGTGTGCATTTACTTATTTTGAGCACTAATATTTTTAGATTTTTGCTCAAATTCAGTAGAGAAACTATGCTGGTTGTACGCAGGTTATTTGGCATGTTTATGAAGAATGTACAGAATGTGTGTGTGCGCGCGCGTTGTAATTGCAGCCCATATGGAAAATATATATTCAGTTCTTCACTGCCAACACGAAAACACCTATATCATCCTCCTTTTTTGTAAGATTTTGCATGTCCACGTTCTATGATGATGATTGCCAAGCATTTCATTACTTAACGTATGTAAACTAACAGCAGCTGAAGTCGGTTCTGGACGCTGTCGCAATTTAAATAGAGCGAAATTCCTCCTAAATGGACGTTAAACTTCATACTTGTGTTTCACAGAGCAAGTATTTATTTAATGACCATTTTACGAATTTTCACAAGTGAACATTCAATATTGCGAACTCCAGTCTCAAAACATCCCTACTAATGTTGCCAGACAACTTGGGTTCAGTAATTTGCGAAGTAAAACTAATCCAGTGTATGCTTTGTTTGACCACTTTGACCATTACCCATAAAGTTTTTATTTTAATGTGCCCTTATCTTTGAATTTCGACAAAATCCTTGTGTTTTGAAGTGCAAAATGACTTGACTGCGGAAACAGAGCGGAACACACGTCTTCGGTTTCTTGTTTTAAGCGAAACGCATACAAAACAAGCATTCATAATTTCATCAGTGAAACCAGTTGCTATACTGGGTTGCGAAATTGTAATATAGTTAAATTACTATACCTAACGAAAGTATTTTTCTTACCATACTTAAGGTTGTAGGAGTTTGTGTATAAAAGGTTACCAGCTCTGACTTGTTGATCACATTGTTGGTTCAGTCGCATGCGGCCCCTGACGTGTAACTAGTCCATGCCAGATCCGCGCAGTTTAAACAATACACACCCGTGGCATTAGGAAGTAACACATCCACGCAATATCCAGAGCCAAAGAGGGCTTTTATCTGACTTGATCTTTGCATATTTTATTCAAAAGTCTGGTGCTACTTTAATGACTGCGGGATGGTGTCGCGTTCTGCGTTGTCTGCGTGTCTTGTTGTCTTGTTAACCATTATACAAGGTTAAGATAATACAATGCGTAGGGGAAGAAGGTGTCAGGGCTGTTAGGCAATAGTGGCAGATTTATTTGCAATTTCTTTTTACAATCCCTTACAAATATTTCTCCATTTTAAAACTCGTCACCAAATTTACATTACCAACATGCAGCCTAGGTCAACAGTTAATCTGGTAACACTTTATAATACTGTTCCGCAGTTAACAGGTAAATATGCAGGAAGTAAGCAGCAACAAAGGAGTAGTGCTTCGAATTAGCACCTAAATTAGTACTATTCACTACTAAGGTGTTATGCTTAATTACTCAATAGGTAATAGTGAACTAATTATTATAGTAGTTTGCTAGTACTTCATTAGGAACTATTGAGTATTGCAGGTCTCATTGGGAATTATCTACTAAATATGGATTATTTCTAATAACTACTAGTTCATTACTCGTCAAATGAACAATGCTGTTTTTGGACTAACTGGGATGTATAGGCTACTGTTCTCAATGGTTTTTAGCATTCTTTTCCTTTTGGGAAAAACAGGCTTGTTTCTTCCTACTTGTTTGTATGACATACAACTTATTCTACAAAATGTTACTGCCTAAAATATGTATACAGTACCTACATTTTAATTATTTACCTCACTTCAGTCTGTGTGCCAGTGTTCTTCAAACCATGCTTTGAAGTCCAACTGAAGGGATGGTCAATCAGAGACTTGTGTTTTGCCACTTGATGTGCTCTACCACATATTGTTGATCTTTTCTAAACATTAAGAAATTAATGTATGCATTTTAAATAAGGAATGAAGTCTTAATGATGACCTAAATAAAACTAATTGTAACTCATTAGTAATGAATGTGGTGTTACTGACTTCTTCAATAGGAGTTACTAAAGATCAAGAACAGTATTATAAAGTGAAACACACTAACTTATTAGTAATGAATGTGGTGTTACTGAGTAAGCTATTTCTTTCACATTTAAGTTCTTTTTAAGGGGTTAATAAGAACATTGAATGTTAACATAGCTTATTTGCTTCACTTAAACATTTATGTAACACTTCATGACACGACAGCATAAGTTCATTTTAAACATGTAATTTGAAGCACATATATGTGTATATTAATATAACTTAATTTTTTAATCAAATTACTTTACATTGATTACACATCTATCCCATTAAAACTATTTACACAGGGTACTGCTTTCTGATGTCATGTAACAAACGTGCAAGTGGTCCATCCTTGTGTTTTTGGCCCAGCCAGCAGGTCCACTCAATCGGTCTTTGTCAGCTGATGTCACACTAGCTATAGTCGCAGTGTATTGTGGGTCAAATCGCCATTTTGGTTGCATACAACGCAATGGCAGCCTTTCAAATGTAATATGACCAACCAAATCAACCAAATGAATCAACCAAAATGACGATTTGACCCACAATACACTGTAGCTATAGCGAGTGTGACGTCAGCTGACAAAGACCGATTGAGTGGACCTGCTGGCTGGGCCAAAAACACAAGGATGGACCACTTGCACGTTTGTTAGATGACATCAGAAAGCAGTACCCTGTGTAAATAGTTTTAATGGGATGGATGTGTAATCAATGTAAAGTAATTTGATTTAAAAAATTAAGTTGTGATGTTAATATAAACATAGATGCGCTTCAAATTACATGTTTAAAATGAACTTATGTTGTTGTGTCATGAAGTGTTACATAAATGTTTAAGTGAAGCAAATAAGCTATGTTAACATTCATTGTTTTTATTAACCCCTTAAAAAGAACTCAGTAAATGTGAAATAAATAGCGTACTCAGTAACACCACATTCATTACTAATAAGTTACAGTGTGTTTCACTTTATAATACTGTTCTTGATCTTTAGTAACTCCTATTGAAGAAGTCAGTAACACCACATTCATTACTAATGAGTTACAATTAGTTTTATTTAGGTCATCATTAAGACTTCATTCCTTATTTAAAATGCATATATTAATTTATTAATGTTTAGAAAAGATCAACAATATGTGGTAGAGCACATCAAGTGGTAAAACACAAGTCTCTGATTGACCATCCCTTCAGTTGGACTTCAAAGCACGGTTTGAAGAACACTGGCACACAGACTGAAGTGAGGTAAACAATTAAAATGTAGGTACTGTATATATATTTTAGGCAGTAACATTTTGTAGAATAAGTTGTATGTCATACAAACAAGTAGGAAGAAACAAGCCTGTTTTTCCAAAAGGAAAAGAATGACAAAAACATTGAGAACAGTAGCCTATACATCCCAGTTAGTCCAAAAACAGCATTGTTCATTTGACGAGTAATGAACTAGTAGTTATTAGAAATAATCCATATTTAGTAGATAATTCCCAATGAGACCTGCAATACTCAATAGTTCCTAATGAAGTACTAGCGAACTACTATAATAATCAGTTCACAATTACCTATTGAGTAATTAAGCATAACTCCTTAGTAGTGAATAGTACTAATTTAGGTGTTAATGAAGCACTACTCCTTTGTTGCTGCTTACTTCCTGTATATTTACCTGTTAACTGCAGAACAGTATTATAAAGTGTTACCGTTAATCTCACCTCCAAAATGCAGGAAAACCAGCAAAAAACTAAAGGCTTGTCTTAAAATAAGTCCATGCTGGCAAAAGTTATCAAACTTTCTTTGGCACACAATATACTTTAACCTATTTTTTTCCATGATAAATAATAAAAAAACATATGCAGTACTTTGTGAGTCTTAGTCAAAGGAAATGTCTCAAACGATTGATCTGGGTAGTAAGTATATATTTGCTCAGAAAAAAACACAACATTATAAGATATACAAATGATCTGTAACAGTAACTAACAAGAATTTCTTCTGTTCTTCAAAAAGGTACTGATACCTAGCTAGATTGCTAGAAGAACATCGCTTCAGTTCCCAAACCTCTCCTCAGGGGCACCCCAGCAATTCCATGTATTTATTAAATATCACAACCAGCTCAATTAATTAATTTGGTAAATAACTCAGTGAGTTATTGATTTGCCAAACAAGGTGTGCTATAGTCCAGTCAAAAATGCATGGCTGTATTGCATGGTTATTGCTAATACTATGGAGACATTACACTCTCATGGAAAAGGGTAAAAATGTGTACCTTTGCTTGTCACTGGAGCTGTACCCTTGTAATTGCACCTTTTAAGGTACAGAAATTAACTCTGAGGAACATCCCAAAGGTACAAACAGCATTAATGTACCATGAATGGTACAGTATTGTTCCTGAGAGTCCATTTCTGTACCTCAAAAGGTACAATTACCTACAGCTAAGGGTACAGTTGGCAGACCCTTGGGGGTACAGCCCCTTTGACAAACAAAAGTACAAATTTTTACCCATTTTTTTACCCAGGAGAGGTTTTGAAACGGCTAAGCTGACACACTTTGACAGACATAACATCATAGTTTTACACCAACATGATCTCATATATATATATATATATATATATACTGTATATATATATATATATATATTTGTGTGTGTGTGTGTGTGTTTGTGTGTACGAGGGTGGTAGTACACCTTCCATCTACATGTAGAGCGGAATCGCTCAGTTTTAGGTTATGGCAGTGGGAGGTAGCAGTAAAATTCAGCATGTCCTGGGATGTTCTGCAATACCTCCTGTGACTGTAGCAGACGGGTGAAATGCAACATTATACCAAACACCAACAAAGACTGGCACATTTCTTCTCACTCTTCCTTTCTCCTCTACTGACACAAGTCTTCCATATAGGTCATCTAGGAACTGTGTTGTATAGGTTAATGACTGGTTCATGCAACATCACACCATCATTGGACAATGCTGCACACATTGTCATGTTGCCCGCTCTGGCTGGGGAATCTTCTGTCGCTCTTTTTCCAATCCCATGTCTTCCTCTCCTTTTTCTACCATGCATTCATTCTCCTATCACTGCCAATCCACTTTATCTAGAAACTTCACTTACTTGATCCATGTTTACAAAGATGCCTTCTTTTTATGGATGGTAAAGAGATTGAAAAGCAAACACCTGAGAGGATGTTCAGCTGAATTGGGAATCAATAGTGTTTGGCCTCATTTTCCTTTTATTTTGTTATACAAAGAATCCCCTAATTTTGTAAGATGTGGTTATTGAATGCATTTTGTGTCACAGCAATAAAAAATTATCAACAATTTAGTCCGTGTAGACCACTGTTGTGCTAACTGTGTGAAGAGTTTTGAAAAAGTGACTTCAGTATGGAGAAATGCGTGTTAGCAATTTCAGAAACCTGTAAATGAGGCCAGGATCTAACACTACTTAGTTTTTCCTTATTTACACTAGTGTCTGTTTAATGCACAATACCTTATATACAATACCTTGCAGTAATAATTGCATATCATGGGTTTCTACATCTTTCGGTTTTGGTTGAAATTAAGGCCAATATTTAGGGCTTAATTAGCCAGTCTTTTATTACAGATGAATCAAGTGAGAAACTCATTATTGAAGGGTGTGATAGAACAGGACATTTGGGGAAGTGCCACAGGTTTTATTAGACTCCAGGCAAACACAGGCAAAATCACTAGGTAGGTGCGTGGTCTGGGTCACAGAGCTTGAAGTCGGAGAGATTGGAGAGGCCTGTCCCACAAATAAGGCATGACATGGGGGGAATGCGGGGAGATAGGGCACGAACAGGAACATGGCAGGCTGGTTGGGTCAGGGCTAGACAAAAGACCAAGAGAGACTGCTCAGTACACTCCATTGATCAACAACACCTCATAATGAATGCGGGTCTGCTCAACTCTCTTATGGGACAAGTGTCTGGTGCAGCCAATCTCTCTAATCAGCTGGCAAGCTCACGCGGGGGGTGTGACATAGCGTGGTATGATGGTGCCATGTGCCCATACTGCCAGGCATATGCCTTGATGGTATCCATGAAGACCCTGTACTCAGTGGGCAGTTATATGATTGATGTATTGATTTCTTATTGTTCCCTTGTGTCTTCCAGAAAGCATCATGACAGACATGCAGGAACACTGTGAAAACATTAGAAGCTACTAAAAACATTTCAGGTGTCACTCACATATAAAGAGTTGTATTTTTGACAGGCAGTCGCCATCTGCAGCAGAGCTGGGATCTCTGTGATGAAGAGCAGCTCGCCTTGTGCTGATTGTGATGTTGGTTGTTCTGTGTGACTTTCAGTGTTGCGCCCTGATGTTGGCACACCGATTAGGAGGAATTTCAGGGAGCAGTGCCGGCTGGAGCTGACCTACACAGCACCACGCCACAGCTTTCTCATAGTCCTGGGTGGGGTGTCGTGGTTGATTGTTTAATTTCCCAGGAGCATCAGAGCCAGGGATGGTGAGGGGGGTTGACTGGGTTTGGGTCTGGACTGAGGTAGTTTAAAAGCTGGCCAGGAGAAAAATTCTAGGAATACCATGCATGTAATAGTAGAGGAACATGTCTGGCTGTAGTTCGTTGGATATGGTCCATATAAATGCTGGTTCCATAGGGATTGAGAGTGCAGGAGAGAGAGAGAGAGAGTGTCTGCGTGTTTGTGTGAGAGTGTGTGTGTGTTTGTGTGTCTGTGTGTGTCTGCGTGTGTGTGTGTGTGTGCGTGTGTGTGTTTGTGTGTCTGTGTGTGTCTGCGTGTGTGTGTGTGTGTCTGTGTGTGTGTGTTTGTTTGTAT